TGGCACCCTTAAAATGATTTAAAGAACATTGCCATTTGCCATTACGAAACACTTCAGATTGGTACTATTTGTTACAAATAATTCCAAGCTGTGCACAACGTTTATTAAATATAATGAAATTCAAACAGGGGGCAGCTGATTGACAAACAATTTTAATATATAGTTGCATATCAAAATAGCGTGGGGGCAAATATATCTGGGGAGCGCCTATGACGCACGCACTAACAAACATACAGTCTATAAAAATTACTTTATTATGGCACCGCCCTTTACAATCGTTAGCAATGACAAACACTGAACAGGAATTTATGTTTGTTTGCTTTGTACATAATATCTACTAATAATATGTACAAATACATATAGTATTATATGTTTGTAATGTATGTATGTACATGAAATGATAGACATTCGTAATTGGACATAAAGTAAAAAGTTAAAGTTTAATATTATGTGCATTTCTCATATAACCAACATCGCAGATAAAGCTATGAAAGAGACGGTAGACGAAGAAAGAGAGGAATTAAAATTTTCATATACATAAAATAGCTGTTAATTGCAAAGAACCAATCTCCATTGAAAATGAACGTACTAACGTCTTGTCCTCACCTAATGTACTTAAAGATTTTCTATCTCTGTCGAACAGTATAACATTAGAGGGGGACAGCCATCATATCTTAACGGGAAGTGGGAACGACAAGTCAATATTATAAGACAATTTCTCCGGAAATCGAAAACCCCGTGACAATCTTGTTGCATTATGGTGGTCTATGTAACAGAACACCGCACAACTGAATGGAAACGTCCCCTATTTTCCACCATAATATATTTCATATAAAATTCAACCTACTACAATCGTGTCAAATATTGAAAAACATAAATAGTATAACTAATTAAACAAAATGGATGATCTATACTTAAAAAAATATTTATATTAGAATATCAAAATACTTTCAGAATGATTCCAATAAGACGTAAATAAATAAATCAAGTTCTGTAAAATAATTTCACGAAGCGATAAAAATGTTACAAGCTCGCCAATAGGACTCTGGGCAAACTATTCGATTGGCCATGTTACTCAAATTGTAATCTGGAATCATATCCGCTGGGGAATACTGAAGCGACGTAATTGATTTCTGATTCAGAAATTAATACAATTACTATGGCCGATATTAATTTTAAAATTCGCAATATATATTTTCGCTTCTTTGATGACCGTTTGGGTATCAAATAATCTGACATTGATACCTTCAAATTCGTAGGCGTCGATTAAATTGATTCGCATAATAAAAAAAACCGCAGCCTTCGATGCATGGCCATATGATTCCCCTTCAAATAAATAGAATCGCCCCGAGCTGTACGGGAAGCTAAAGTTATTTCCGAGCCGTGATTTACCAAATTCTAATTCAGACAAGCGATTGGTGGTTGAGGGTCGATGACGTGATGCTGCTATCTCATTGGTAGCGGATGATGTAATTCAAATATTGTCAGATACGAAAATTTTCACCTAAGACCCTCAGCAATCTGCTTACTAGGGGATCATTATTAGATTGTCCTACCCTAGACGCTAATGAATATATATATAAACGTCACTTCCTCTAATACATATAAAGCAACATGTTTTAAAATACATTGGACATGCGAAACGGACATCTATTATTGACGCTGTTAAAAGCCTTTCCCCTAAATAATCCCCGATAGGTGTTCTTTTACATAATTCACAAAGCATTCATATGATTTCATTTAGCCGTTTAATATTCAATTATTATTTTAAGAGGATTAAAAAATATAGTTGCAACCAGCAACAGTCATTTTTCACATCATCAGTTTGATTTGAACCAAATAATACGCCAAAAAAAAATGCAACGAACAGTATCCAATCTAAAGTATCATGAAAACAATTTATTATAATGAATGAAATACAGTATCAATAATCCTTTACATTAAAATAGAGACATTTAAAATAAAACACAAATTAAACACGACGCTATAAGTGTTGAGGGTAAAGTAAATATAGAGACTGGTTAGCGAAAACAGCGCTTAACAACACTCCAACCGATTAAATAAAGCAGACAAAATCACATACGTGTGAAAGAAGGTGCTCAAATAAACCACTAACGCTAAACCTCGCAGGTTTAAATTAAATGCAACGTGCTTAACACTTATTTTATTTCATTTCACCGGCTTTCCTTGTAGAGATGCCTTTTAAGCGAGTAATGTGCACGGCCAATAGTAGCGGATGCTACACCTGTCTAGCCGATCAGTCGGGCGACTGGTCGAGCGACCGGTCGACACGGACTTCTCTAAACAATAATTGCAAGGGAGAAATAATAAAGTCGGCGCAACGCGGTCCGTATCCGTTTGCAATAAAAATGTAAAACGCTACCGATAAGCGGCAACGCTAAAGGCTCGAATGTGAAATCATAGTGATGTGAATCATAATTATCGATAAAAACTTGTTACGTGTATCGAATCACGTAAATAAAACTATAAGATTAATATGATATATATGAAGGTTTACAGATAGTCTTTCAACAGCAATTTCTACTGTTGATAAACTTAGCGCGACTTTTCAATTCTGTTAGTGATATCGACAGCTATCGAACCGATTCAAGAACAATTTAACATGAATTTATTGACATCAAATCTGCTAATATATTGAATTTATTTATCAAATATGTGCTAAATATACCTCACTGGAAAAATTATATTGAAATTCAGAATTACACATATATTTTAGCACTGCCGTATCTCGAGTAAAATCAATGCGACGTTTCTAATCACAAAACTATCGACATATCTGGTGGTGCATCACTACCAGCGAGTTGCTTCAGTTTTTGCGTCCGGATCAAACCGCCGGGTATTTTGTCACACAAAATATAAATGTAGCGGACTTCCTTCCTTCATTGGCGTTGTTTATCAGAATGATTAATTACACCTCCTGCAATACCTTTCAACGACTTCATAGAATCTGCTTTATACCTGAAGGTTTCGTGCTGTTGTATCATGACGATTTATTTACTATATTAACATCTCATTAATATTATCATTGAAATTTATCATGAAAGCATGAAATATATAAACAAAATATATAAACATTTTGAAGGTGAATTAAATGTTTTTAAAGAATTTTTTATTAAGGACATATTGTTTGTCTTTAGAATTCAATTTCTTTCAGGACAGAAACGGTCAAAATTAAAACACTTCTGGTTTTTATGAAACTAATACGTGTTTCAAAGTTATTGGAAAACTAAAAAAATGGAATAAATTTGATATATCCAATGATGGTATTTCAGTCGGTTGTATCAATATGTATGTTATGTGGTTTGTTCGTCATATATAAGGATCGTATGAATACAACAGAAGCGTTTAAAAGATTTGCTATTAATATGTAAAATGTTAATCTATATAGGACCGTGAGAAAGTAATGATAAATACATCAATTTCAACATCGAACAGCTTTCTCGTGATGCCAAACTGTTTATTAGACTGGATATAAAGGATCGGGTAACCATAGCCGAGAGCAAGTCCATATTTATTGAAATTACTTTTGATTGTGCCCCATAATAGCTGCTTGGAAGCCAGTAGCCCATTTCGCCTTAAAATTAAGCAAGCTTTTTGTCTGTATCCTCTCGAATTAGATGCTTTATATGTATACAATTTGCATCGAACTGTTAAGATGTTTCAAAGGTTAACGTAGAACACAACGAACTTTACAGGTACAATACAATGTTGGTATCTTCATATTTATAAGAAATTTTAAGCTTAAAACACGAACTAATATGATATTAATAATGGAAATATATTCATAACGTACAGTATTAGAAATTAACAAATGTATTGCAAATATTATAATTTATGAATAAACATAAACACAAGAACAATTAAGACTTTAATTTTTGTTGTTTCGGATCCGTAATTACAATATATGTAATTTAATTAACATTGTTGATTAAACAACATAATAAAAAATATTATCCGTCAGTCCGTGACGAAGTTAGTCACGCATTCAGAATAAAATAAATAAATTGTACTAGCTACTGGAAAATGCTCGCAGTAATTTCAAAATGGCCAGCCATTGAAAATCATTTATAAATTACCAACTATTAAGCAATTCAAATGGAAATTACTTTTAAAAAATAATATCAGTATCCTATTTAGACTAGACGGATAAATTGTTGCAACTGAAATTACATATCATTATACTTTCTTTGTTTTTAAAATGACATTTGAGCTATAATATGTTTTCGTTTCGAACCATTCATACGGAGGAAGTGAAGCAAAAAACAAATGGCTTAGAAAAAAGATATTCAAAAATACACGTGCAATGTTTTTATATAATAACCAAATTACAAGACCTTGTAGATTTTATACCGGTTTTAGAGTGAAGGTACCTATATAGTAAATTTTACTTATTTTTATATTTACTATCCAACATTACATACGAGCTAGAACATATTCTATGACGTAATTTAATTTACACTTATAATCAAGAAAGTGTGGCTATCCTGTTTTTTCAAACGGAATTCTATTAAAATTTTAAAAAAGTGAAACCGGTTTTCTCATATCATTTGCATCTTTATGAATAAACATAATTAAAAACATCATTTGATATAAAAATTAAGTCACACATGATTAAGTTTTTAATACTATTTGTTCCACGTCGTAGTCGGTTTGTTGTTTATAGTGACATGGTCTCGTTGACAGAAAAATGATTACTAAAAATTATGATTCGTCAAACAAATAAAAACGTACAAATTGACAAAATATATTTTTTATTGATTTTCATAATATAAGAATTATATTTACTAAGTTTTTATTACAGAAATAATAATTGAATTTATTTACAGATTATTTTAGCTATATTGTAGGGAGCGGCGATAGATTTTTTTATTGAAATTATTGTTTCGTATCTATTCTTACTAACTTCGAACTCTACTACTAAGTACAAGTGCTGACAATTAATTTTCTAACAAGTCAGAAGTGCTCATTCGCGAGACATCCTGTCTACCGATAGTGAAGAAGGTGAACCGTTGCCACCGGTAGCAAAAAAGCCTCGGAAGCAAAGAATGCCTCGACGACCGACAAATATCGAACGTCTGGATCGACTGGAGGAGATGATTGAAAAAGTAACGGTCAACGTGAGTCTGTAACACAGCTACAACCAGGACACGAGCAGGTGGAAAGCATAAATGACCGCACAGGTGCGTCTAACCCACGTAATATTGAAGGAGTACCATCTACCTCACGGTTTGATAACCCAACCAATTCCTCAGCAGCAAGCGTGATAATTAATAACGATACAGCTACTAGTACCGACCTATTAAGTTCTGATCACAATCCTGCTGGAGTCATTACCACACCTACAGTTTTGCAACAAGATCAGTCACATGTAAAAACAAAATTCTTAGGAAAGCCCGACAATTGACCAAAATTTTACGGTACTACAAATACGATGTCACTCCAAATCTGGTTACACCGCTTAGAATCTCTGGCGAAGATATAAGGGTGGGACGAAAAAACTTTAATCTACCTCATGACAGCCAACATGGAAGGAAATGCTTTGCTATGGTTTGGACACCAACAGAACATAGACATTACCTGGAGTGAGTGGAAGAACATGCTGACAGAATTCACCAGAAGGTGAAGCTACTCTAGACTTGAACATAGATGGCGTCGGAGCTAATACATTGGTTTTGGTAGTTGGTGATAATCTACAGGACACCGATAATAGGGCGGGCCTTTAGTGAATTACCTTGAATATGTGTTACGAAATGACGGAAAATTTAACATTTTCTCATATCAATAGCACTGCTAATATGGAACTACCATTTTCAAATCACCATGACGTTCATCTATCAAAAATAGAATTAAGGTTAAATAGAATTTTAGTTTATACAGTGCAATATTCCGATGGTAATTCTGTAAAAGTCCAACGGTCTGAACATAGGGCCTTTGCTAAAGGAATTGCTGGAATTCCCGAGGCCAGCATGTCTGTTCGCGACAAACAAGATAGTAATAAGCACGAAGTAGTTAAAATTCTAAAAATGATTAATAGCAATTGCCCTGAACCTTTAACAATATATCGACTCGGAAAGCAAAAGACAGATAAATCTCGAAACATTAAAATATGTTTGCCCTCTGAAAAAGCAGCAAAAGACATACTGCGTAGTAAAAGTAACCCAGAGAATGATAGTATCAAAATATTTTCTGATCAAACACCATATCAACGGAATTACTTTAAAATATTACAAGAAGAACTTACTTAGAAGAAGAACTTAACTTCCATATCAACAATATCCATCAATGCTTCGCTTTTTTCAATGAATTCGCTTCAATGAATTTTGCTTCTATTCTAAACTTTGAATTCACATTTCAATTACGTTTAAATTTATGCCCTGAAGAAAAATTGCCTATTGCAAATATCTTTAATAACGTCAATTGACCTTATATTGGAAGGTTTCTCAGAAATAGCTCGTCAAACAATCAATGAGTATCACAAATTCAACAATAACAATCATATCGTTGTATTGACTTGTAAGAAAGTTCAAATATAATATAGGGAGATATACGAATGTTTAATGAAAAAAATAACTTATCAATAAAGAATAGGTATTACAATCAAACGTTCATTGAGACGAGATACGAAAATACCTAAAGTATTATAGAGAAAATGGACATGTGGTAAGAAAGTAACATATTTTTATGTTATAGTTACAAACAAACTGAATAATATTACTTTTTTCTTAGCACTAAATGTTTAGTTATGTATTTGTGAATAATCATTGTATTTAGTTTTCATTGGGCTACCAAAAAAATAAAATACATTTCAAAGCGCATTCTTTAGACTGTTATTCAATATCAGGCACGCCACAGAACATCGAGAGCGTAACATTTGCAAAAAAATAAAATAACTTATTTAATATAATGTAAATAAAATAAACGGAGTTGTTACACGCTCATTTAAACACAATTTAAATGAATCGACCCCAAGGATGCTCGAAACGACAACGCTCAAACCACCGTGAACCTGGTTCTATGTTAGGGCGGTTCACACTGGATCAATTCAATATCGCATACAAGATGTATTATAATATTTATACCATTAGAATCATAGGTGATTTAAAAACAAGCAAGGTAACATTTTGCATAGTAGTTTATGTGTATATTAAGGACATCCAAACAAGATAAAAAGTGTAAACAAAACCTGTTCGCAATGTCCCTGTATTTTGTTTGGTTCGCTAAACTAGGGACATTCATGATTTTCTGGCCAATAGATGTGTTTTGTTTATTGACTTGAAAGTTTTTGGCACCTTTTAGAAAATGAAGCTGAATAATTTATTATTTTTTTTCCTAAGAGATCGTGACATAGTCATACTTCATAAATTATATGTAATAAATACTACCTATATATGTTTCAAACAAAATGATTTAGTATCAAGATTATTTCTAATGTATTTTCTATTTTCCTATATGAAAGAAACCGTCGCGTCTCACCGTCAATGTGAAGCGAATTCCTCGTTGTTGAAAGACCCCGCGGTGTCGTGGAACGATTTGAATAGTTGCTATAGAACATACCCTCCCATAAACCACAGGGCGTACTCCGAAGCCCCTAACACAATCATCGGTTATTTAAAAGTATAAAATAATTACAAAACCTCCCGTAGAGCGTCATCGGAGAGCGAATTAGAAACTGTCTTCGATGCTCACAGGAGGGTCTGCGAAAACATGAACTGATTCGATTTTAAAAGCAATCGATTTACAGACAAATCTATTACATATGAGTATGTAAAGAAACCGAAATACGACATTTCTTGTTAAACAATAAGACATCAATGAATCGTTGACCAATTATCATACAATTTAATTTTCCTATATATACAATAATACTGTAGGTATACACATTCAGTGCATTTACGAGATAATACTGACCAATTATAATTTATAAATAACATCTGCAATTTTCTTACAAGTTGTGCATCACTATCCTCAAAGCCGACTTTCTACCCTGTTATTATATATTAGTATTTATAAACATAAAATATAATTTCGACGTCAGGATAAATTTATTTATCGCATGGTGCACTGACAACATGTAATTTTTATCGTATTAAAAGCGCATATCCCTAAACATTTTATATACCTACATATTACGAAATTGTTAATTGGTTGATATAATTTAACGCGGACATTAATTTTTAGTTTTAAATGGCGAGAGACATCTATTTAGAGTAAAAAGTATTCTGTGACTAAGTGAAATAGGAGATTCACATATCAATAACATCAAGTGTTGCTTCATACTGTAGTATTACCTTATTTTATCAAGATAATTTTTAATTATTCTTTTTGTAAATGTTTTTACGGCTCTAGATACGAGTCCTTTTGTGCTTGCCAGATGTTATTATCTCTTTATTGCCATGGATTAAAAAAATAAACAAATTATTGGATAATAAGGTAAAGATTAATATTTATTTCTAAATAACTTTCTATGAAATGATTTTTTTCTTTTTAAAATGTTTGTATTTCCTTTGATTTATTTTGGAAATTTATTCACAATAATCTTATATAAAAAAAAATAAATAAATAAACAATCGATTTTATATCAAACGTAAAGAAATTAATATTTCTTTTTAATTACTTTTCTATGAAATGCTTCTTTATTTTATCATAATTTGTAGATATATTTTCTTTTGATTATTTAATTTAAAAATTGATTGACAATTTTATAAAAGCGCCACCTTTTGGTCACTCAGCAAACTATATCATTAAACAACCTGCCAACCAACGCCCTCTAGTTGAATTTTATTAATAAGTAATACAATGTTTTGTTATAAAGTAATCCGAAGCAAAAAAAAGGTTATCGTAAAGAAGGGCTTAGTATGTGAAACAAGATATTTCATTTCACACAAAAACTAATACACCTGCGTGAGTTTGACCAAAACTTGTCACATTATATGTAAAAAACCAAATACCATTATCAATTAAATATAGCAAACCTTTTGTTCTTATATTAAATAAACATAGTATCAGTACCTCTACGTTCCACCTATTCTCCCTTGACCTTTAGAATCAGATCCGAAGGACCAATAATTTTTAGTTTATCGTCGATACACATATTCTCTTGAAAAAGAAACATTGAATAAATGCTATTTGAATAATAATCGTGATTTTCTACCTTTTTAACTGAGAACCACGAAAACGAACACTGAAATGTGCAATAATAATGAATTTAAATTAAATATATAGTGGCGAATTCTTGTTGAATTAAATCAGTTTCTGAATTCAACAGTACATCTAAGTACTTCAGTATTTACTTTTTAAGAATGCAGCTAAACAAAAAACTACTTATTAGAAAATCTACAGAAATAGAAAAAAATGTCTTCAGGAAAAGTTTTTTTATCATAATTCTACCTCTTTCATGAAATAGAGCCTTTAAATGTAATAAATACATAGTATTATTGTTCTATTTATTTAATACATTTAAGTAATAGATTAATATTTAGAAAGTCGGCGCCACAGAATTTAATTCTGATGATCGCGGACGCAGGCACCTACCTGGAAAGCCGGCGCGCCGGCGGCGCCCGCGTCCCTTTCGCTCAAGGCTATTCACACGCACGCAATAATAACCCTTAAAAGCATCCCCGCGCCTCCATTGCTCAACAAAATTCCTTTGCACTATAAACAACTTTTTTTAACAATGTCGTACAATCGTGTCTTGAATACAAGAAATAGGAAGGCGAGTTTTATTGACATTTCAAAACAAGTCGCTTCAAAATATTATTTCAAAAATCGTTTTATATTAAACATAAGCAAGCTTCATCATCATGGCTCCTGTTAAAAGCAATTTACTTAATGATCGCAATGCAACTAAAAACGATACATAAACAAAAACAAATCCACGGCTGTCACTGTCAAAGCCTCGTGCGCGGGTTGCAGTTATCGGTTAGTTTATTTAAATAATGTGAATGCTTACCGGTTTCAGAAAGACAATCCGTGTTTCAATATGTTAGACGACCACAGCACTACCGTATATATGAATTTTTATATTGAAATAACGAGTTAAACTTTGTTAAAGTGTAACGGATCGGGTGCAGGCGTCGTTGACAGTCGACGTGAGCGCCGCGGCGCGTTGCGGCGACCCTACGTAACTCGCCCCCCTCCCGCCATGCCTGCAAGCCCCCACCCCGCAAACTCCAAGATCGCCTCACAACCAACAAACACGCCGTACGCGGCGAATTATGTCTTTTTATACTTATACTTCAGTGGTTCAATATAATACAGCCTTTGTATTCCATACTTAAAATTTTCCTATAACAAAATACTGTTTTATATATACTTACCTAAAATTTTTATAAGTATCACCGCGTTGTATTTGACAAATCTGCTAAGTTTCTGTAGCCAGAACAAATTCAATACATACAAAAAAATCATTCAGATTTTATGGGTTCAATGCTGTTAAGATATTCTTTTGGATTCGGATGTTACGAAATCAGATTTAGTTTTGGAATTTTATTTGCTAATACTAGGTTTTATTTTGTATTACCATTTTATTATTGCATTTTTTCTTATTTCAAATCGACACCACTCGTAGGTATTGGTGAGCATTATTGAAAATGGATTCTTCCTGTCTTCAATTATAGATTACAAAGTAATCAAGTTTGGTCGATATGGAAGAAACAATAAATACAAAATTAACGATTTATTGAAAAAAAATTACGTTAAAATTATCATTATAAATAATTTAAAGAGCCGAACTGTTTTGGTCATAAAGAACAAAGATTATCTAAGTGACGATGGTGCTGCCGTAAATCTGAGCCTAAATTTTGACCTTGAAAGAGTTCGTTTAAATTAAGTTTATATTAAAGAATTTATAATGCTAAGCCGTGTTCATCATAAGTGACGAAGATCTTCTCAATCGACGTGATGTAAGCCGCGGTCCTCACGTCAAGCCCCAGATTGTGTTTTAGAGCTGTTCTTTTTACATTCTGTAACATTTGTACATTAAAAATGATAAAAACAATATTAATCTATTTTCTGATGTCTTTAACTACTAAATAAATTGTATAAAAACTCATCTCAAAACAATGATAAGTTCATAGAGTATTTTTTGATATTACTATGAAAATGTATATTCAGAAACAGAATGTACTTACGCGGCAAGCGTTCTCCATTGTGTATTCCAAGCCAGAGTTGACAATCTGTTCCTCCGAAGCGCCGGCAATCATGGACGCAAAGGTTTTCGTTGGCTCAATTTTAGCACTGATATTACTATTCTTCAGCGACTGCTCAACAGAATCTGATACATTTCATTATATTGACATTAATAAACAATATTCCGAAAAAATTTTAGTTCTAAATATCTTTGTCTTTACAAATTTATTTCATAAATAGTGAGACTCAACCTAGCAAAGCAGTATTTGAGTCCCTCCAAAACTTTATGCTCAGTTTGCCGAAGCTGACGTGGTTTAGATTTTTGAGGAATTCAAAGTAAGACACGCAGACACCACCAGCATTGGCCAGCAAGTCCGGCAGAACCAAGATGTTTTTCTTTCGAAGAATTACGTCAGCAGCAGGCGTCGTTGGACCATTTGCTCCCTCGCTTAATATCTGTTCGGTAAAAATAGACCAAAACGTGAACGTTCATGAACCGGACAAACGTAAGACCTAGCAGAATAAAAGATTACAAAGATCTCACTTTACAATTCAGCTTGTCAGCATTCTTCACTGTTATGGCTTTCTCCATAGCGGCCACCACTAAAATATCAGTCTTTTCAAAAAGCAATTCAGGTCCGCATTCCGTTGCGCCAGAAAAGCCTTTAGCGCTTCCCCTATTCTTTGTTTTGTACGCATGGAGCTCCTAATGACAATCACAAAATAAAATCACCGAAATATTCTACTATAAACATTACAGAGAAGTTTTTATTAACCTTTGTATTGATACCATTTTCGTTTTTCAAATTACAATCATATTCGAGGACTCCTGTGACTTTCACTCCCTGTTCTTCAAGATACATAGCAGCATAACTGCCCACATTACCATATCCCTGAATTATGGCCGTTTTGTTCTAGGGATGGCAAAATATATTATCTTTAACTTAAAGCGAAATAAAAACTAGTTCGTGAAAAAGATTGAAGTCATTTGGCCAACACTTAACTCTTAGAGTAACAAGAATCAAATCACCAAACAATATACAGGGTGACTGGTGAATTACTATCGATATTTGAGGACGTGATATTTGACGATCATATATGACAAAATAAAATACAATATAACATAAATATTAATAAACTTCTAAGTAAAGTTCACCAAAAGTTATGTAATTAATTACGCATCGTGTGAACACCCTACAGATTAGGTATACACACACGCGCGTGCAGCGGCGTGGTGTTGTATCAGCACGCCGCCGCACGCGTCCACACTTGGAACACTTGGAACGTGTCCACACTTTATTTATTTATACGGAAATTTGGTCAAAAATTAAGTACCTATTTTTTTTACATAATTCGAATGAGAATCAGATACCGAGTATTCTCCTTAAATATTGATAGTAATTCACCAGTCACCCTGTATAAATCAATTAGTTACCATTTGCATGGTAGGTCACGTCTTTATGTCCAGCGTACCTTATACCCAGGCTCCAAACCAATGAGCTTCATCCACTCAGGGTCCTGGATGAATATGGTGGTGCAAAGAAACACTCCACGACCAGTTGCTTCCACGCGGCCGTGAATCCCTCCGCCATTGATAGGCTTACCAGTCACACAAGCCGCGGCATTCAAGTCGTGGAAACCTACGATATACAGATTCGAATAAAGTTTCCAACAAACAAAACAAATGAGCATCAGCTAAATTTACCCAAAGTCTTGATGTAGGTGTCAACAATCCATGACATTTCTCTGCCAGACGTATTCACGTCTGGTGCCGGGACGTCTATACCCGCGCCTATAATAAAAGGGTTTAGGAATTAACAATCATGTTGATACTAAAAATCAGAGCCAAAAACCAAACATACCAATATAATTTTTCTTGGCTAACTCCAGAGTATACCGGCGAGTGATTCTCTGTAACTCGGCTACTGTATACTTCTTCGGATCAATTGCAACTCCTTTTACATACAAATAATTCAATTTTAGTTTAAATTTGGTTAAAATAAGTAAGACAGCTAGTGAAATCAAATTTTCCTGGATTATATTTCATATTCCAGTGAAGTGAAATTTATTCTTGATGAACAAAAATTTACCTACATGAAAGCAATGTAACAACCAATTTTTAAATGTATACAATGGCTTCAACCTCCTTTAGCTCCACCAAACGGGATGTTGGAGCAGGCGCACTTGTACGTCATCAGAGCAGCGAGAGCCTTAACTTCCTCTAAGTCAACTTGGTCCGAAAATCTGATACCTGAGAATTATACTTTTACTTGCACTAAACTCTTTAAAAGGCATAATTCAGTTAAGCTTAGACACAACTAAGCTAACATGAACCTTGCTTTATACTGGGCAGCTTAAATAAATGTACACGCGGTCAAGCGTAATACATATTATCATTTAACATGTCATAATCATAGTCGGGATATTAAAAAAATCCTGTTTAGAATTTTTCAAGAATGAGTCAAGCATGAATTCCAAAACCGTGCATATGCATTATTGCATAGAATTTTAAGCTTAGTGATTTTTTCATCACCAGTCAAGTGAGTCAAAGCGATGACCATGTATTACGAAACTCTGAATTTGGAAAAAAATAAAGTCCAACAAAAGAAATCCGCTTTCATCTGAAGTTAGATTTAATAACAATTTTACGCAACATTAGTTTCTAGAAAAAACAAATGAGGTTTTCATATGATTGTCTGTACAAGTGTATGTATGTTTACCTCCTTTGCAGGGTAGGCGATGGACGCTATGTTGCGAACGATACCCTTGCACGATCTCGTAATCACCATTTTTACGCTGAAGCGGAAATTCGAACTGGAGGGAACTATTACAAGAACCCATGACCTGTTTTTTTTTATTATAATTAACATCTGCTTGTGTATATTATTAACCAATACGTTAGGAAGTTACCTTTAAAATACCCGCAACCCTCTGTTTCCTCTTCTTCTCGGAGAAATGAGCATGTTTTTTTAGATATTCGAATAGAGCCGGCTCAACAACTTTTACGGCAAAATGATAGAAGTACTCGACCATCCGATAAAAACTGGGATTTGGATCTTCCATGACCGCTTGTAAGTGCTTCGGTATTTCATAATTCCTTACAAATATTCTATTTAACCTGTTTTTATTTATCGCAGGCGATTTTAAAGCGTTTTTTAATTGGATAAAAAACATTTTAAAAATTAGTTATATTAAAAATATTTTCAACCTTATAAACAAAAATTGGTTACTAATCTTGATATGTACTTAAAATTATTATTGTCAGTTTTCGATTCGAAAAATTCTAAATTAAATTCCGAATTTTTTACCACTGTGGAGGATTTATGTTTAAATATTATTTTTTTATGAAATATAATTTTGACCTCAATACAACCGGGAATAGTAAAAAATACTTTAGTTTATATTAAATTCATATATAAAACGTTCTTTCTTACTCCAAGATGTAAATAAAATAAAAATAGTCGAAATTATCAACGACAGAGAGAGACGAAACTTCTCAGCATTCCAGGGAATCACTGTGCGGGTGTCGGATCCATCGCGTTGCAGGGAGAGGAGCATCAACGGTGCCCGGGACTTGTGACCCAGGTTTAAAGAGGCCTCTATCAGCTAATACTCGTTAAACGCTGACTTCCACTGTCCAAGTTCCTCTGTCTACCTAACCAAATTTTAATCAAATCTATTAGGGCTGCCTTCGAAGTAAGTTCTAAGAATCAATTGATGTTTATTCTGGACAGACAATAGTAGTTATAATAACGTACAAATAAAAATATATAGCGTAGGAACAAAGACGTATAGATAAAATAGGATCAGGAAATTCTTGTGATCTATATTTTCATTCAATCAATTTTTAATTTCATCATCCAGAATAGAATTTCTTTTATAAACCTTTCATTTACGACGAATTTCTGGGACTTATTGATTTTTTCCTTACACAACAATGGTTAAAATCCTTTTAGATGTTTTGTAATCACTAATTATAATAATATTTTAACGTTAATATAATATAAGTTACGATAAAACTTTATTTCCCCTCTTTCATTAATTTCACGACTGGAATTTATAGAAAGTAAGTGTTATTTATTGTTTATAAATAAGTATGAATCTGTAATGTTTGAAAATTTTTGAAATAAAAAATGTAAATGTAATTGGCATTATTTTTTTAATGCCAACGACTTTCTCTTTTCGTATCATCCATAACAGGATGCTAAACAAATTAAAGTTTATTTAAAAAGTAAAAATCATGCATCAACGCGACCTCCAATATAAATTGTGTTTCATTTTTACGAAATGCGTCAGAACCAAACCGGTTAAAAATGTATTAATAATATTGTGTTCTCTTACTTACTATATCATGATTTTTTCAATTCATATATCACTTAGTATAAAAATAAAATAACTATGAAATTTTAAGCAAACACAAATTTCTTATTTGTCATTTTGACAATTGATATGGGAGGAAGTTGTGTGCAGAACCATATCTCATAATTCACTGTTTGAATTATCGCTAAATAATAACTAACAGAAGTCATACCAACTTGCTTTAAAATAAACAAAAACGGAACTTCATCTTGTTGTCTTCAATCTGTGACATAGATGACATATATGACACTTGACAAATCAAATTGACAATCAAAGTAACGAATTTATTCAGCGTATATCTTCTATATATATAAAAATGGATTGCTGTTCCTTAGTCTCGCTAAAACTCGAGAACAGCTGAACGGATTTATCTTATCTTAGTCTTGAAATGTTCGTGGAGGTTCAGGGAAGGTATAAAAGCTGAAAAAAATTGATTTATTACTGGGAAAACCATAAAAACAGCCCTTTTCTATTTCCCATACAAACGTTTTTTTTGACATTAGATTTGACAACTAACTAATATGTCAATCATTCTGTCGCACTTCAAAACACGGAGATTTATGACTTACAGGTAAACTCCAAAAATATAAATAAAAAAAAATAGATATTTCTTGATTATAGGGCGATATGAAGTTCGCCAGGTCTTCTAGTTTTTAATACAAATGTATGGAATTGATTCATTCAGTTAAAATGTAGTTTGAAGGAATTCTAGACTAGACCTAGACAAATTAACAAAACGGGAAATTTAATTAAAGCTTCAAGGGAATCTTTACATTCCTTTTTTGTTCCGCAACCTTTGTTAGATCGGACGCTCCGATCATTTTTGCCTAAAATCTCCAATGAAGCTAATCGCTGACCCCCACTTTGTGCCATCACAAGGTCTAAATTAACCTGCACGTGTTTTTGTTTTATATCGCGACAGAGGTTTCAATATAAATTTATGCATGTACGTAATTATATTTTTTTAAATTCAACAAAATGCATACTTGTAATTTTTTCTCCGCTACTCATCGCAACTTCGTAACTATAGCATATGAAATAGAGGTGTTAAAGCAACCATCAAAAAGTATCTAACATTTAATGTTACAAGTAGAAATTTTGATTATGCTGGGATTTTGAATAGAAAAAAATTAGAAGTCTTGAATAATCCTTACCATGACAAAGAAAAAACCTTGGAGAGAAGAAATGTTGGTTATTCAAGTCCATGGAATAACAATTTCAGCAGACCACATTGAAATATAAATAAAAGAAAAAGGGAAATCAGAAACGAGAACATTTGATGAAAAAATACTTTATTACAACACAAATTGTTTAGAAAAAGGAGTATATGGCTTATGATAATTTTTAGAATCAACTTTAACACTAATTCTCCGTAAATAACTTACGCCCAAAGTAACACCTAAACTTTACAGAGCAATGCGCCACTCTACGGGAATTGGTAACCATGCGTACACACGCTCTTAAATTACACAAAATTACTCATTGAAATAACATTTTTTCTATAACTATACCATCCTGATTTCACAAACACAGCCAAGCGAACGGACTGTACAAAATTTAATTACAACCACGAGAGCTGCGCGCATTGCCGTTGAAAACTTACATAAACTACATCATTAATTAATTAATTATCTATTATTATTACTTCAATAACTAGTACTATATTACAAGTATCTAGGATCATCGTTTTCCACACATGAGAAATATGAGGCGCTTCAAAACAGCAACCTCCGTTACGAAAATCAGTCGTATTAACATCGTAGCAACTATATATACTTACTGAAATACATTAAACTAGCTCGACATGTTAGTTTGTAACGCGTTATATTATAATGCAGCAATACTGCGTTACAAATACAAACAGTACGAGATTAGAGATTTTTTCAGTAGTACCAAAACAGTTACTCACGTGCTTTACCGAGTCATATAAACATAGACAATAAACGATTACACTTAGCAGCGCGAGAGTCCAATTATAATTTAATAAAAGACGCTAAATCATTACAGTATAACAGACACTGTTCTAAAATATATCACAATTTCAATTTACTTCATACAATCGCACTGCTAAGTTATCTATAGAATCACTTAAGTTTTGTCATCAAAAAACATCGAAATCTTTAAATACAAAACCGTCATACATAAAGACATTACATTTCTATATGACCAATCAGACAAATCTTTAACATCTTATACTATTATGAGGGAATCAATTATAAACTATTTCACAATATAAATTTCTATAATTTTACTCATCGAATTGTAATGTCGTTAAACTATTCCATATAACAACACCATACCATTATTATTTATACAATAAACGGGTATTGCTTGTGCCATACAATTTAAGTTAATATCGGTAAATATTAGAAAAAAGAAAAAACAATCATCATAATCATAACAATTTGACGACATCTCGACTAAATTACATAAATTTCAATACTTATTAAATTCTATTATAGACAATCAATACGAACGAATTGACAAACGCGCCGTACATGCCGGGCTGCGGAACAATAAAATATCAACAACACTCAAAGATAATCACCATGTGATATTTGGACATACAATGAACTTACAACTAGACGGTATCGAATGGAATAATGCTAGATATAAAGTCTTATGTACATTAATAGCTGGTACATGTAATACACTATTGTCATATTGTGTGTGTGTGTCCGTTTATTGAGCAATTTGTTTTAACACTCACTTTCACAACACTATCCCTTTAACGAATTGTCTAGTAGTGCTGTATGTCAGTCTGTGGGTGTTTTTACTTCTTGAAAAGCATATTCCATTGTTTGACCGGCTGTGATGTTGAGGGCTGCTGTTGCTGCTGCTGCTGCTGCTGTTGCTGCTGCTGCTGCATTGACGCAAGACTCTGCTGCGCCATCTGGAAGCCTGAGATAAAAAATTCTATTAGCAATCATACTCATACGTACTATATAGTGGACCATAGCTGAAAAACGTTCCATAATTTGCCTATAATAGTATTTGTATCTTAACTATCACAATACAAATTATAAATAATATAAAATAGGTATGTATGTATGTTCTCTATATCTCTTTATCAATAAAACTTCCATGTCTGTACACTAACCTACATGAAGCATTATAAATATAATAGTTTATAGCTTAGCTATCACCATACCTAGTATTAATAATATCGTCATCAGCCTATCAGAGCCCACTGCTGAGCAAAGGCCTCTTTCTCACATGGAGAAGGTTTTGAGCATTAATCACCACGCTTGCTCAAGACAGGTTGGTGATTTCAAACTTATAATTGTGAAACTATAAGTCCAGGTTTCCTCACGATGTTTTCCTTCACCGTATGTCAGTGGTGTCTAAATACTCTCAGAACGTACATATGACTCCGAAAAATCACATTGGTACCTGCCAGGTTCGAACCCGCGCCCTTGGCAACGAGAGGCGGGCACTTTAACCACTAGGCCACCACTGACTTATTAGTATTAATAATATGAAGTATGTATGTACTAACCTGCCTGAACAATTCCTGAGAATTGTTGCTGCCTGACAGACTCCCATAGGGCGCGGCGCTACTCGGTCATCTCCCTTTCCCCCCCTGCCTTGTCCGCGATGCACGAGCGGGCGACCGACGCGAACAACCTGCTTAGAGCACCGGTGCTTGTAGAGTTTTTGGATTGATTTATTTTTCATAAAACTTTATTTAATACTAATATAAACATTCTCAACTGACTTATATTCACATATAGCTACACAGTTATAGATATATAACACATTTGTCAGTGATTGCTTTAATAAACGTTCAAAATCATCATAACGTTTAGGTTTTCTTACCATGAATCGTCAGTTAGCGTTTGGGAAGGAAAAAAATGCAATTAGTTACAAAATATTAATAAAGTAACTTACTTTTCGATCTCGGGCGCGCAATGTACGAATTCGTGTGTCCAGAATTTGTAAATCGGATTCTTGATGAGTTCGATGAATGTGATCAATAGACCCCAGGGATGTGGCCGGTTTACTATCAACCTTTCTAGGAGCATTCTTGTAATCTGTTCTTGAACAGCCTCCGTGTTAGCCTCCGCGAATAGATACAGCAGGCAGCAACTGAAGTAATGCGTATGACTGTTCGGATAACGGAGCTGATTCGCGATCGCGTTCAAGAAGAGATACCTATAAGAAAATTTTATATAGAATTTTTCTGGTAGAAATCTATATTAATCGATAAGTTATTCTTTATGCATCACTCTTCAGTATATCATTAACTATTAACGGCGAAATTAGTCACTTACCGGCCCTCATAGTCAAAGTCTACGGTGAAATTCTGGAATATATCCATGTGAGCTGAATGTGCTATCGTCGACATGTTCGGCGTCTGTCCTTTGGCGCGGATGTAAGCTATCGCCTGCGTCCCTACATATAGCACAACCGCGTTCATCAGCTGACTGTTGTACCTGCGACCCGGCTCGTTCACCTGTTACATAACCATCATAGTCACATACACGGCCATTCACTATGAAGCAATATCATCAGAAGCGTCAAACTCATGCGTATATGTTATATATGTATATGTTTTACCATGTCACCTCTGTGATCACAACACAACGTTAGATTCACCTGCATGTTACTTCGCAGTTCCGATAGGAATGTAACCGGAGCCCTGGCCTTGATATACGCGTCCAGGTCCTTTTTGAACTGCGACGCCGGTATTATATTTGCGTAGTTGATAACCGCACGCGGTGGGAGAGTTATCTCGGCCAACAGATCCACCTTCAAGTTAGGTGTGAACGGATCCGGGAGACGCATGTTCCTCGGGAACGCAGACAGAATGAGATTCCTCATTTGTATGCAATTTGGTGGGATCTCATCGCAAAAGCCGTAGTGATAGTCACACAAAAACTCGGGAAAGTCGTGGAGCAATACTAGCAACACTTTGAGTGTTCCCTTGTACAGCATCATGACTGGCGTCGCCAGCTCCGTGTTACGTAAGAACGGATCGAGGAACTTGAAAAGGTCGATAAGCAGCGTCGAATACATCCCCCAACCCTGAGGACAGTCAACGTTTAGTATGTAACGTAAAACAAACAACAAAATATATAAATATATCAAACAAGCGATGATCAAGCAATGGTATCAAAAGCGAATAACGAACTGTAAACACATACGAGCTTAAATGAAAAAATTTATATACCAATACTTCCATGATAGACTTGAACAAAAGGAAAAGAATTCATAAGATATGCAGTGATATTATAAACACAATGCACATGTATTTACAGATTATATATATGTATACTCGAGTCTGTTCACACACTCGTTACAATCACCAGAGTGGTGCGCCATCTATTAATGTCCATCATGGAACTTTAATATAATAGTCAAAAACATTTCGGCAACTGATCTAGCAAGTGAAAGAATATCATGAGATCGGTTGCAGAAATGTATAACAGCGTCAAACAAAAAATGTATAATTCCGAGGGTTATCTGCAAGGGATATGCGTGAGGGCCTCACAAGTGATCGTGACGTATACGGAATGTGAACAGACAATCTTTATAAGCTGATAACCCGTGTAATTTACATGATGGGCTAAAATGATTGATGTACTTCGTCAGTGAAAACGTTTAACCTGAATTTTCATATAAATTATCAATGAATTGAATATTCAGGTTTTCGAAAATTCAAAATCTAGCGTATGAGACATAATCTGGACTTTAGATAGTTAACGCTTTTCTAACAAAACATTATAATTTGAATAAAAAAATATAGACCTTTATATTTCATAAAAGAAAAAACATTTTACAATGCAATGTTGGGTTTGTGCAAATAAAATATGCTTATAATCCACAAATCCTATAAATTATAATAATTCGCTAAAGCCAGGCGGCCCTTTGGTAAATAAATAATTATTGGATAAAATATTTTTGATAATAGTGCTATCTACCTAAATACCTCTTTCCTATTCAAATTTTATTGTATTGTATACAATTTACAACATAGGTTAAACTAGATCCTATAATTGCACTAAAAAATATATACCTATAAAAGGTAACGTGCAAAATAAGACTCTGATATTCTTGTTTTCATCTATTCAATATTCTTAATAAAATTTAATGAATTTATGTCATTTAAAAAAATCATATAGTTACTTGTTACTCAAGCCAAGTAAATCAGAATCTTTTGTCCAGACTATGTCAATACCTAATTTACATATGTAATGAAGGTTTGGGATATTATTCTTATGTATAACGTTATATATTTAAATGATAGCTACCTTCTGTTGAGGCGTCACAGCCAGAACACGATTCACGAATGCTCTGTGGGCGACAATTTCCAGCCACGCGTAACAAAACCCTGGAGCTACGCTCGGACGTATGATGCGGAGTGTATGGCAGAATGCTGTTAGAACCTACCAAAATAACATCTATTGAAAACTACGTAATAAACTTATCTCACACATAGAAGCTTTTGCAAATTTCAAACGATTAAAAAACGATTAAGAACCCATATATAAGATGATTTCACTGATCATGTTTAATATCACTACATACTGTTTATTATTTGCAATCTTAATTGTAGTTATAAATTTTAAAAATTTCCTTTGTAAGCGAACTTTGTTCTTTTTGGAAATAAACTCCTTTAAACCTGTTAGTAAATAATACTATAGCTGTCATAGTATGATAGTAGTGTAAGTTTTAATAACAGACCTGGTAGTTCATAGATTCAAGGACGGGTTCGGCCATGTTCATGTCTAGGAATAATATCAACAGGAGACGGTGGTACGGCAACTGCTGGAAATTGGAGCCGTGCTCTTCGTGATCTTGAAGCAGACAGCCCGCGATTATACCCAGGATCTGTATTGGAGAAACAATTATGTATACCGTACTAGTACAAAATATCTGTACTTTGTTTTCATGTTATATATTAATTATGTGCACTACTAAATCCCTACTAATATTATAAATGCGAAAGTTACTCTGTCTGTTTGTCTGTTACGCTTTCACGCCTAAACCACTGAACTGATTTTAATGAAATTTGGTACATAGATAGAGTTGACCTTGAGAAAGAATATAGGATAGTTTTTATCCCAGACTTTTGAAAGATTCTCTTGGAAAAGCGATATAAGCGAACTCCACGCGGGCGAAGCTGCGGGCGGAAAGCTAGTCTAAAATAATTATACGTGACAAACCTTGTTCAATAAGTTCAATTTCGGCGTAGGATTTCCTCCGTCAGCTGTATTCTTAATCAGCAGCGACACAAGCTTGATGAATGAATCGCACATAGCGTAATACTTGTCCCTCTTCGGCGGCACCGGTGGCGGATTCATTCTGTCCTCGTTCAATAACTGGTATACATTCTCGACGCACATCTGAGTGGCTATGCGGAAGAAACGTGTGATCATATCATCTGACTTCAGTATGCCATTCATGTTCATTCTGTGCACGTATATGTTGAAGTTCTGTCCGATTTCTATTTCGGTGAGTGGACTTAGCAGCACATTTCTCCATTCGCGGAGCAGATTTTCCGTCTTCTCTTGGAGACCGGGTGGATCTTCGTAGTCGCGAGCCTGTCAAAGGTAATTATTAATAATAACTTAATATTGTTTATAAACACCTCGACCTCGACATAGGCGGTTAAGTGATATAACTTACCCGCACTTGCAAAATGCCATTATGTATATGAGCAGTTGGTCCAAGAGGTGAGCGTTCTCCAAGATACGTGCTTGGGTCCTGGTTGATGCGGATAGTTTCAATCAATGTGGCAAGTCCCTCTGGCGGTGGCTGCCTCGAGTGTGACATCATCCTAACAAGAGTATCAGTAGTGTGATAGAGATCCGATTCCGTTGCGTACACGTTGTTCCTATCATCCACGAGATACAACTGTACAACTTGCATCGCGAAAGCCACCGCGACGTAGTTATTGCCGTTATCCATCAAATGTGCCAACGCGAGATCGTACTGAAATATTTTTTTTATTAATTAATTATTTAAAACAATTTAATACATGAAGTAATAATAGTAGTAGTAATAATAATATTAACCTGTGGCATGTTAATCAGGTGGTTTCTAACGAGACAGTCGATAGCTTCTAAATTGTATCTCAGTTCATCTCTGCATTCGGACACGCAGTATGTGATTTGTTTAGTTGTCCACGCGTGGCCATACACTCTCGCGTCTTCTAACAGTTTCAGTACGCGCAGGTGGATATCTCGATATCGGGTCATCATTTCAGCGTGTTCTGGGTTCGTTCCCGGCTGTACAATGTGACCGTCTAGTAGACCCTCAACAGCCTACAAAAGAATGAATTGTTCAAATACTGAAGGTCTATTTTAAAAACATATAAACCACTTGACAAGTCTTACTCGTTGGAGGAGCGTGTAGCCCGACACGATATCTCGATTCCGTCTGGCTATGATGAGGCATTCCAGTAATGTATGCATGTTAGTCGCTTGCACCGCGAACGAGGGAACAGACAGGGCGTTGCTAAGGAACAACTCCGCAGCTGATATCAGTGTACCCATCTCATCCGTTCCGTATACCTGGTTATTGAATTATATTAATAAACTACCTCATATGAACAAACTATAAAGTTGTTGTATAGATATCTACCTGTTGCGGATTCATTACTTGATTGAACGTCATCTGTGGCACTTGTTCTTGGGCGGACGGTTTCGGTATGAACATTCCAGCGTCCCTCACAGGCATGAATCCTGGAATGTTGCACGCGAACTCCTCGTAGACAGATATCTGCAAGTCCGTTGGACCTCCGACGCGTAGGCGGACCCTTTCCGGTATCCTTTCCGTCTGATACGTCAAGACAATGGGATCGTAGTACCTTCTGCCCTCTTGGCGAGCGATTTTACGCATTTCGTAATCGTTCATCAATCGTTTGTCGAGTTCCGGGAGAGCCTTCTCAACGGCTGTCTTCTGTATGAAAGCACAAGCAAGCTCCATGTTCTCCGTGGCGAGCACAGCTGCGGCACTCTCTATGATATCCTTCTGCAAAGTGTTAAACTAAGTTAAAAGTATAAAGATACACAATATCTAAAGTGTACAGTGTTAAGGGCGTATATTCAAGAAACAAGTTACCTGTTGCGGCGTGGTCGGTATAAGTGCGGTGATGAACGCTGCCTTGAGGTTCGTGCTGATGGTGCTGATGATCTGCTCCCGACACGTTATCATAGCCATGCCAGCCGTTAAATTCCTCATCATATGATGCGCGCAAGTGCGCATACGTACTTCGTCGGGGTCGAAGGAGAAGTCTTTCCTAATTATCTGCTCACAAGTCGTCAGAGCATACTTGATGGACCTGTCGACCACTGGATGTATCCATTCTTGAATCGATCTTTCGATAGCAGGTTTCACAAATTGTTTCAAGTGTGGGTAGTTTTGGAACAGAATGATATGCGGATTGAAACATATTTTCTGTCCGAAGGCCGACGTGGATGAGACGTTGACATCGAGGTAGTTGAACCTTGGCTCTGGCAGACCTAAAACGCCCATGAGGTTTGGATCATTGGCGACCAGGCCAGCGGTGGGCGTGGGCGCGGCAGCTGACATATCTTCGACGGGTATCATCTGAGGCTGCGGTGGCATCAACTGTATTTGTGGTGCCGGAACTAGCGTCTGATTCACTGGCATCACGTTGGGGGTTTCTTTGACCGGTTTGGGTTGTGAAAGCTGGAACTCTATCGTCCTCACTTTCTCTGGGTCCTTCAGGTACAGTGATGGTTTAAGATCGGCTATATCTAAACTCAAGTTTTTACAAAGCACTTCTATTTCAAACTTCAGATTCAATTTTAAGTCTGGTTCTTGGTGTAATTCAGCCAATACGTTCATGAGGGCCATTGTCCAAGGGTTCGGCGGTTTAAATACGACGTTCTTGGCGCAGGATTCCAAGACCTTCGCAACAAACGGCACGACATATAACAGCTCCTGCTGGCCTTTGTGATAAGCTTCAAGTAAGAGTGCTTTGAGGTCGAGGTCGATGTAGAGTATGGGTTGATTGCGAGCTAAGGTGAGCATGCCTAACCAATGGCCGAGGTTTTTGAGTAACGATCGATCAGAAAAGTTAGCTATGCCTTTGTCAGATCGCAACAATACTCTGATGTTCCGATAAGTTTCTTTAGTAACTAGCCTGTTTATTTCACGAATTTTTAGAACGTCTAGGAAATTAGAATACAGAGCGTGGAAATTTAGTTCTATGGACGCTCTTTTCATCACTAGGTACTGTGATAGCCATGGGAAGTATTCTTCTGTTATGATTTCTTTTAATTCTTCACATTTGGGTTGTAAGTTCAATTGACTGAGATTATTGAATATGAAAGCAGTTTTATCTTGAATAGCCTCTGGTGGTGCGTTTATCTTCTCTTCCCTGTCGGTAGCAGTCAGTAGTGTATCAATGTTGGTAGCGTTAGCTATTGAAGGCCGACTTCCTATTCCGCCCGCAATACAATTTGACACTTTCGAGATGACAGAGATGGCACTTGGAGCGCAAATTACTGCCCTGTAAGTGAATAAATTGATTATTGTATTAACTAACGAAAGTAAAAACAAATTCATGATAAGTATCACAATATTTCAGTACAAATATTAAACAATAATGAAGGTTAAGTATGTTTATGTACCTGTAAGGTGCTGATACTGTTATAACAGCGGTCTGATTCAAGATGGCGGTTAGACTCGTAGGTAAAACTGCACCCTGCGGTTTCGTGGGCGGCTCTTGGCTCTGGAGACCGTACTCAATGTATTCGATTAAGTGTGGAGGGAATTCATTAAAATGCGGTATAGCTCTTACGTGTTCGCAATATTTGTGATAATCTTTTAATCGCGACTTGAATCTATCCAACGCCGCTATGCCAAAGTAATACATTTTAGAGCCCTCCGGCTTTCGTAAAGCATCTAGGACGAATCTCAAAGCTAGTCCCAGTGACACATAGCTAGGAACTAATCCTTTCTCAATAATACCACCGAACAACTGCGCTGTAATATGCAACTCTTTGTCGGGGTACTGTGGGAAGAATTTGTACTCTTCGAATAGGTTCCGGAGCATACAAGAGAACACATCACGTTCCCTTTTATTGGGCGAATCTTGGAATTTCTTAAGCATTTCTAGTACCTCGTCTATTGATAATGTAGGATGTGGAGGGTGATTGTAAATCCTTTGAAAATAACCATTGGCTTCGTCTTCTATTTCTTTGGAGACATTGTGAATCATTTCTGGTAAATGTATAGGATCTGGCAATCGTGGTTTGTCCATAGGCGTAGGAGGCATACGAGCTAATGCTCCCATATTTGCCACATTAGCAACATGTTGCTGCATAGGCATCATAGCAAAGGGACTATTGGGTCCAGCACCTAAGAGACGCGACGGCGATCCTGGCGCTGCGACTAATGGTCCGAGAGTACCTGGCATAGCAAAAGCTGTATTTGCCGGTGCTCCCAATGTCATATTAGCGACATTCGGTGCTAAATTTGCAATAGCGTCAACATGGGGAGTAAAAAGCTGAGGCCCCAAGCCAGCTGGATTGAATGGAGTTTCTAAAATCCGTGTATGAGGTCTTGCAATACCGGGTATACCCGGTCTAGCCTTCGTAAGAATTAAGGCTTGACAGCTAGCCATTAAATTGTATATCGCCTCCTGTAATTCTTGTTGGACGTTGGGAATGCACAACTGTAGACAAGCCAACATTGTGCCCACAGTTTCAGGCGGTAACTGCGCCGCTTTGGGCAATTGGTCTTCCGGTATTTTTCCAATTATTTGGGGACATCTTCGTTGAAGGAATTTAACCATGGCAGTAACAAATGTCTCTCCATGATCACGTATTTTGTCTGTTAGCCACTTGTCAAGTTTGAGGTACTCTCTACGAGATGCTAAGCAAGCTAAATCGATTATAAACGGAAAAGATTGGACGTTCAACAATAAGGATAGAGCCTTAAGGTCCTGCGCAACGTCCAATATTCTTGATAGCTTCGACTGATCACATTCTCCTCTTATGTACCAATCTGCCATTGCGTGCATGATTATGGGCTTGATATTGGGGTTTTGTGAATGCCATGCATGTTGTAAAACTATGCCCGAGTTTGGATGGTTGCCCAAAAATATAGGAATTAGTGTCGTTAATAATTCTTGTCTAAAACCCGTTATAGGTGGACTAATTTGTAACAAAGCCAATAATAGTATGTCAGGACAGTGTTGTACTGGATATTTAAATAGCTCGTGTACTTGCAGATAATAGCCGCGTTCTGAAGCATATAATAATAGCTCTACCAAATATAGACACCGCCAAGTAGATACTTCTTTGTTATCTGTTTCCGGTGGCGATTTCAGCAGATCTATGGATACTGGATGGAAAGGATGATCGGCAAAGCTGAATATATCCGGATGTTTGAGTATGTTCGTTAATAAACTCATTTGACCTTCCAAATTCGCCCAACGACGGCAAAGGTATTCAACGGGGAATATGTTTGCAGGATATCCAGCACTCTGGAGACCTAGGCGCAAAATAGTGAATAGTAGGCTCAAACCCTGTCTGTCAGGAACAATGAATTCTGGATGATCTAATTGTAGAATGACTTCCTTCCAATTTAAATTTGAAGCAAGTTCTTTGAGTGTCTGGACAAATACTTCTGGGTTCCACGTTTCTCCGACGTGCCCATGGGTCATGGCCTCCTTTTTGGCCTCATGATTCATCCAGAAATTTCCTGGAGTTTGTACATGTGGGGCTTCTTGTATAGTCGCATGATACTTGATCATAGTAGATATGATTCTAGCAACGTCAATGGCTGTGGGCTCTCTAGCACCAAAATTGACCATATTATTTTTGCAGTCTTCGACGGAAGCCGTGAAGGCATATCCGATGTCTCGAATGATTTCCGCTAAAGTATTGTCCATCATTGCTGCTGTCATATCATCAGACGTTGTCATCTCCTCCAAAGGAGTCTGTGTGTCGTCGGGGTACAGCAGGGGCGCTAGTACAATAGGAACAACCTCGCGAGGAAAGTCTATACGCAGGCGTTTCAAAAACAAATCCTTCGTGACGGCTGCGAGCCGGAAGTTCTCGTAGGCGAGACTGGTTAGAAGAGTTTGCAAAACTTCAGGGCTGCATTCCTGAAGTCCCGCACGCTCGACTTGATGACCACGCTCTGTACAGAAAAAAATATATTAGAAAAACAATAACATAAATAATGAGTTTAAAGAAAACACGAGATTTTAAGAGTAGCTAAAACTGCCCGGAAGCGTGTATTATACCTGCGTCAAGATAACACTGGACAAAGTCCAAAAATCTTTTCTTTAAATGCTGTTTGGCAAGAGAAACAATTTCAGGTTTCGAAGAATTTCTTCTCAGCACCAATGTGAAGGCAACATCTTGGGCTGTCGTAAATTTCAGCAACCTTGCTAGTCGACTAAGTAGTGAATTCGTTGGTTTTAAAACCTGCGAAAGAAAAATCCTCTCTTTTCTTACATAACTAGCCATTCAAACCTAACAGTTGAATGACTAACACGAACACATTGCAAAATAAAAATAATGTTCACATAAAAATAAAAAGCTTTTGCTTCTACCACTTATTTTGGGGACAGCACACACAAAAAATAAAACATTTAATAACAAAACTGTTATATAATTCATTTACCTTTTGCAGGGAGCGTGTGGGTTGATCAACTGCTTGGCAGATCACCGTAGACTTAGCGGGGTGGTTCAGCAGACAGGCCAAGTGCTGGGCGAGGAGTGAAGCATGCACGCTGGATGCAGTACGCTCGTCCCACGTTTTAGCCGCCTCACTGAGCAGACACCTCAGCAGTTGATTCTCTGCTTCCAAGCCATAGAGACTGACAATCTGAACCCATAGTAACATACATTTAAAACAAAAACATAACATAAAAAGCCTTGCAATTAATAAGCTGCAATCACAAATAAAAATTTTGCTTCTAATGCATAAACTCATAATAATGAAAAAGAACTCCACATAAAAAAATAAATAATAATAATAATAAATAGTAACTACCAGTCATAGTGTACTGTGTCCAACTCTTATAGATACATCAAGCTTTGTGGTTAAGCATTACTTTTTACTTTTGTAATTATAGTTCAAAAACAGCCAAACAAAACATGCAAAATCTAATAACTATATTTGACATGTAATCTTAATGTCAAAAACAATATGTTAAAGAAAGATAATAAAAATATTTATCAATCACAACCTAAACAATGTTGTTATTGTAAATTCAAGATATTATTACGCTTAAATAAATTGCACCATTATACATATCAACAAAATCTTCAAAAACAATATTTTCCTTAACAGACTTTACCAAACGTTTGAAAAGTTATATTGGTAGCTTAAGCATTGGGAAAACAATCATATCTACGGTTTATGTATAAATTGCAAATAAGAAGCTCCTCTAGTATGTGAGAACAGGGAAATAAAATGATATCCACTAGTCATTAAATTCAAATAGCATTAGATATATAGAGTAACAATTTAATACAAGCCTAAATTAATGAACAACAAATGTATTAGACTTATACATAAAAAACATGTGAGAGGTTTCTTTATTCAATTTATATCTATACAAATTAAACTCAATGTCAAGTAACTAGCAATTATAGAACAATTTTCCTTTTTACATGATTTTTTTCCTCAACATGGACTAATTTTTTATTATTTTCCTCTTTATATGTTCTCAGGACCTCCAAAAGAATTTACATATTTTTATCTTTCCTTTTTAAGTAAATATTTTTAAGCTTAAATAATGAAAAACTTTATAATCATTACAATTTTTAATTTTTATATATTCAAAGCTCAACGATTTAAGTATTCAACTTTATCAATGATTTTTTTCAATCATGCGTGTTTATAAAAACAATGTACTATATTTTTTTCTACTAATTCATACTACCAACAATTCAAAAATACAGTTTCAAACTCATCAGTTGTATGTGGTAAAAAGATATGATGTGAGAAGAATATCTATGGCTTAAATTAACATGACTCTTGTAGCTTAGAAAATAATTAAAACACTGAAACATACTTCATTACAATCCTAATAAATCTTATGGATTATATGGTGTATATGAATTCAGATCACCATAGATGAATATAAAGAAAAATTTTAATAAAAAAGCACAAGCAATGCTTACAAAACATATAAAGATTGATAAAATTCAACAAACATGTTTGTTAAAACCATATTATGATATAAATAAACAATATCTTTAAATCTTTAACAAAAACCATGGCAAAGCTGTATCTATGAGATTTCACTTTAAGTATAGTCATTTATGTAAATGTATTATATCTCTTAAATTGCATGTTAACTGCCTAGCGACTGAAATCTAGTTTAAGCCATCAATATTTCAAAGTTAAAACAGTAAACTTTATAAAATAATTCAATTGATTCGCTGAGCTTTCTAAATAAAAACAAATTTCGCTTCGCTTTTGACCTGAAGGACACAGTACACGGACAGACCTTATAAACTATGTGCAAAATATTAAACACTTAAAAATAAACTACAATCTACAAAATTGTGCTAAAATATTCATGACCTATTAAACTACACACCTCAAACACATTGAAATAGTGAAATTTTAATGCAAATGAATCAATGCATTAGATGCAATGGGCTGAATGAACATTTAACATAGTTGCATCTGGGGATAATAAATTAACATATGAAAAAAAGGAGGAATTATTACAATAGCAAATAGGATTTAACTTCCAATCTGATGTATTCATATAAAAAATATAAATTAAAAAAAACGTGCAATTTTAATGTGGTGCATGCAGAATGCTTAAAAAAATATAATGCCAACATAACAAGAACCAGAACAATGTATTCCACATGGGTATTATAAAATTTTGTTAAAACTGTAATTATAAAGAAAATTAGTATATCATTCAGTTATATTATTAACAAAAACACTTTAGAACACAAGGGTAGGTACATGTAGCTACCATGAATGATGAGTGCATAAAATGGTTCAATTATCTGCACATATATTTAAAATGATGAAACTCACTCTTATGACTTCTTTAACAAAGGGTGGCATTCAAAAATATCAAATATATGAGAAAAATTAAAATATTTTTTACATACAATATTCTTTAGTAACACATTTTTTAAATATACCCACACACACACATTTCACCAAACCTAACAATATTAGAATTACGAGATTAAATAAATATCAACAAAAGTAATGTTAAAACACAGAAACTCTCAGTAAATTAAAACAACATGATATTTTGGTTAGAAAAGAAGAGAAATTTCAGAAAACAACAATTTTTTTATTTGTTACAACACAGAATAAGTGTGATAACATGTGCTCTTAATATCAGAAAAAAGACGGTAGATATGTACACAATTTACTCATAATTATCTTCCAGTTTTTACACTTAAATATCAACCAATCATGCACTGCAAGGGCATAATGACAATACTATAACCTATAAAAAGTTATTACATTGGAAATCTGTTTAAGTTAAAATATAACAAATTAATGCATTATTGCTACGTTTCATTATCGTAACCGTAACTAATTCAACCACGACAAACAATGGTTTTGGAAAAATGGAAAAAAATTACCGTTATATCGGTTATCTGTATGAAATCACATGTAATAATAATATTTTTACCGATATTGTAGTTATTTTAATTATATTTTTATAACAGAATCAGTAATAAAAGATATTACTATTGAACCACTTTACACCATTGTAACTTATAACCAACCATACGTCATAATGTATAGAACGATCTAATTCATACATTGTAAGTTGACTATTTGGCAAGAGAGCAAGGTGCAATAATGCATATGCGAATATAAAAGCAATCCACGATAGTTATATAAAATTTAAGTCCTATTACCAAATCAGCTCGTGACTATTCGCAGTCCACAATATGGCGACAATTGAAAACAAAGACAAATTTAAAACGAATTTTCTCACCTGGGACAACTCTTGACTTGTCTGTTTAAAGTTCTTCTTATTTAAATTTACAACAAGATAATTTATTTGTGATAAGCTAAACGTTAGAGGGTCCAGGTTCATAGTTCCATTAATGCGAAACCGAAAGCTTCAAACACGTTTGAAGCTTTCTCGATTTTTGACGAATTACTACAGTAAACGTGTGTTCTTTTACAGTTTTTTTGCGAAATAATAACAAGCCTAAGGTCAACATCACCAATACTATATTTCACTTCAAATTTAACATAATTTTAACACTTCACTGCAATTATTCATTACTCGACAAAACCTGCAGACGATGACGAAGGCAATCGTCAATCGCTTCGTTGACTCGTTCGGCCGCGCTCCTATTCGTATATTCACATTATCATTCTACTTTGGTACTATAATACCAACGTATAGAAAATAAAAAAGTGTTGCGAGTACTATTAAAAGAACTTAAAACAATTTTAATAATTTTAAAATATATAAAACAACACAAATAATATTGGAAATACAGTAGTTATTTAGTTAAAATATGAACATTAAAATTCTCCGTTTAAGTCATACAAGAGGCTTCTTAATATGTTAGGTGATCTGAACATCAGATGTTACAATTCACATTTATATTTATTTTAATATTTCTTTATGATATGAACATTATATAGGAATTTTATTTTTAACTTTAGTATAATCATAATTAAGTTAACTATGGCTATAAGAATTACATGAGGTAAAAATATATATACAAAACTTACATTTTCTTAATTGTACGATGAGTCGTAATTAATGCAGAAATGTTTTGGTAAGTGACATAAAACTATTTTATAAAAAATGCAATTACAATTGATAACAAATAAAGATCTTACTATTAATATTACCTATTAACTATGTTGCAAAATATCTTTCATTGGTAGTCCTGTATTGTTGTCGATGATCTTTTGACAGTTGTCATCCTTCTACTGCAAAGGCAATAATTTCGAAGACGCCATTGTTACCAATAGGTTAGTTTGAATAATATAGCCTTAATTAAAATCTCTATTTTAATAAACGTTTTAATGGTTCTATAATTAACGTCATAATTGTATTATTTTCTAAATTTATAACTTGGCAGTACTGTTAGTAAACATAAGAAGGATCGAAATTGATATAGTGGTTAAATCCTTGAAAAATATATCTTTTTTTCCCATATATATATCTTATTAAAAAGAAAATTGATATTCACATCTGATTCTAAGTGTCCATTCCATTATCATATTCATTTCGTATCAAATTATATGAATTTCATTCCTGTTATATAATACAGAGATATTTCAATATTGTAAGTCTATCTTTGATTGAAAATTTATTTACCCATAAGATATTCATCTATTTATACATATACCATTTTCAATAAACCTAATATAATTCTTCATATCTAAGGGTGTTATTTATTATGATTTCATTATAATTGCAGTTTATATGGCTGTTGGGCGGTTCCTACGTAGGAACCTCGTGAGCATAGCATTCCCTACTATCAGTCTATCATTAATATTCCTGGACTGGAATTACACTAGGAAGTGGAAAGCTGAACAATTAAAAAAATAATGGCTATATTCGGATTAACTACACGGTTCTTTTGGGTTGTAGTGCCTTTAACTGGATTCTTCATCGGAAAGTACCTTGACGATCAGGAAACTCTTAGAATGACGAACTTCAGAGATAAATCTGCATTGTATGGTGGTAGACTGAAGGAGGGCGATCCACCATCATGGCCTTGAATGATAATCTGTTTTATAATACAATGTAGTAGATTAATGTTGTTGCAATAAATTATTCAAACTGTAGTAGTTTCATTCTTTAATGTTTTAAAAATCTGAAGTTTTTCTTTAAATTTCAAATATAAAAGTTACATTTGTTAAAAAAAATAATTCAATATTATGGTTGATAACATCCATAAAAAATAGCAGCAATGCCATTTCTAGTAATTGGTTAAAATTTAAATTGACCTTCCATTAAATAATTCCTTGGTAAAGAACTTGTGGTTGATAAATTATTGGGATTGTTTCCTCAAGAGCATCACTTTACTTTGAATAAAAAGGTATTTTGCAAAAATTTGTGAAAATGATAAATAAAAATGTAATATAACTTTTACAGCAATTTTTTTAACTTTAAGACCAATTTTGAAAACCTAACAGAAAGTCATATTTAAGAATAACTATAGGTAATTAAAAATTCTTTGGCTTCTATTATGTCTTACACCTATTGTGTGCATTTTTCACTAAAAATGTATAACTTTTAATATATAGGTTATTTTTACTATATTATGTCACTATTAAATAGAACATTTACATTATCCCCCAATTGTTTTGAAGCACACTTAGGAATATTAAAAGATATGACGTATTTTTTTACAGTAAGAAGCTTTGGAAAATGAAAGCATGAACTATTAATGTATAATTCAAAGATTAATATATAAAAATACTACAGAATTACTTATTACACAATGATATGAAATGTCTTAGATTTGTTACATTGTTTTATGAAGTAAGAGCAAAACAGGTTTAATGATTTTAATATTTCTAATTAATAATAACTATTGAAGCTGCAATACAATTAAAAAAGATATAAGATACGTATATGGTTTTTTATTATGCATCCATTCCTACTGATGCCTATGTATATTATAAATGTAAACCTAAAAAAAAGAGATGATAATTAGGTAACATAAATAGTTTTAGAAAACAAGTTGAGATTACAATATTATATTCAAAAAATTTCGAGACCCATACACCTATTTATTTTATATTGATTTCGAAATACATGTAATGTAATTAACACTTGTTTCTTTTGTCTATTAATGGCCCAGATGAACAATTTCTGATGCCAAATTGTTTCATTATATTTTTGAGATATAGAATTCGCTATGTAAGATTTATTTAATTTTCTGTGCTCGGAGGCCATTATCTAATGCTAAGAGAACAATCATTTATATGATAAATATAACTAATCAGAGATAAACCATACAACTTTAGAAATAGAAACTCGTATATTTTTATAGGCCATGTTCATTATAAAAGTCCAACAAAAATATTTTGTAAAAAGTTTCGCGACAATTTTTAAATCAAGGTAAATACTTGTGAATACTAAGGTATTTGCATTTCTTTTAGGGTAAATAAAATATCTCCTGTAAGTGTATGATGTTAAATGTAATTAAAAATATATATTATTATAATTTTAAGTACTATTATCTTAGGTGTAATAAAAGAAATCAAAAAAATGAAGCAAAATATGATAATACTCAAAATACTTCCGCCCCTATCCTGAATGCAAATACCTATCACAAAGGCAATATTATTATAAAATAATTCTTAATTTTTATATTTGGCGTTAAGTTATTTTTAAAATGAAAATGAATAATGTGCTTTGTCGTTAAACAAAACAAATAAATGTAGTATATGTATTACTTTTGACTGTATGACTAACGACCAATGTTTTCAAGTTCTTATAATCTGTCCCCCGACCGTCTGACGATTGACGTATTACGGAACAACAAGCGGTCTGTCGAAAAATCAGAATAGCAACTAATTATTATGAAATTATCGTTATTTTAATTTTTATAAATAATATATTAACTTAATCAAATGTTATTAATAAAGCGACTACCAGCGCTCTCAGCATCAAAAATTAATTTGAAAGTACCGTATCTTGAAAAAAATGTGATTCTCGAGAGGCAAATTAGTAAACACTGCCACTATAATTTGTTAAAGTTATGTAAATCTGCATCAGTACTACATAATTTAACACATAAATCTAAAAATCCAGTAAGTGCTAAATGTAAATACTTTCTGTTTATTAAAATGTAATTACTAAATTTAATCCATTTCACCAGTATTAATAATTTAAAACCTTCAAGGATAAGTACTTCTGATAAAAAATTATTCTAGACATAAATTTTGTAATCTTTTTGTAAATTAAGATCAGTTCTGTAAAGCTGGTGATATAAAATAACCTCTATGTTATACTATTTTTATCTATCACTTTTACACATTGTACCATAATCTTATAAATGTCTACTAACAAGTCTAGTTCCCAATTTTCAGAATTAAGGTTTCAAAACTATTTTATAAAGGCTCTAATTCCTTAAAATAATTGTTGTTACTTCTAATAATAGATTAATTCCTATTTTTTAGCAACTTCGGCAGTTCCATGCAGAATATAAGGCAGCCTTTGCTTTGCTGCAGAGATCAAATTATTTAGGTTTTGGTTCCTTTTTAAATACAAATTCAAGGAGGTTGCATACAAATACCCCGAATCAAAATAGGAGAAATGAAGATAATGAGGTAAGAATATTATTATATACTTAAAATTATTTTACATATTGTTCGTAAAAGTTTTTATAAATTAACTAATTCTTTTATTATATATAGGACAAGGAGAAAAAGAAAGATAATGATAAAGGGACAATGCCATCGTTATTTCTGAAGGCAGCTTTTTGGATGCTCACAACATTTACCCTAATTATGCTAAGCTCATTTCTTGTACCAGGAGATAACACACAAAATGAGGTAAATTTATATATATACATCTAATATATAAAATTCTCGTGTCACAGTTTTCGTGCCCATACTCCTCCGAAACAACCTGACCGATTTTGATGAAATTTTTTGTGCTTATTCGGTAGCTATGAGAATCGGCCAACATCTATTTTTCATCCCCCTAAATGTTAGGGGTAGTCCACCCCTAAATTTTTTTTTTTTTATTTTTTAGACAAAATTTTTAATTACTATTTTTTTATGATACAACGTACAAAAATACATACAATCCTAAATTTTCACCCTTCTACGATCAACCCTTATTTTTTAATAGCTATTTTAGTAATTTAATCATTTTTCATCTCCGGTCGATAACTGATCAATCGTCATTTAATAAGTTATCCCCGCCAGATATCTACAGGTGTCACTTCTGACCCAGTAATCAGCACGGAGTAGGGATGAGAACGAAGCCGGTCTTCTGTTTCTCTCACACAATTAGACTTCTCTCACTCCCTACACAGTTGTCGGCCATCGTTATTGTTTGTGCATCAAGTGTAGTAGTAACGTTGACAATTATTATTTTGCTAGCTCAGTGTAACTCTCATATTAACTATTAATCATTCCTAATCACTTCAAAACACGGAGATTTATGGCTTTAATAGGTAAACTCCAAAAATATAAATAAAAAAACGTAACAGATATTTCTTGATTATAGGGCGAAACGAAGTTCGCCGGGTCTTCTAGTAATATATATATATTTGATTTGAAATTATATATGTTGTATATACTTTATATTATGTTTCACTTAAGATATAGCACTTAATACCTGTTAAATAATATATGCTTGGCAAAAGGATATTGAAAAGTTTTTTATTATTTCGTATTATTATATTTTACAATTTAACATTTCTATAATTATTGATTAAGATGATTTTGCTAGTAAACAAATTGATGCTGTGCAATTTATTTTAAGCTCTGCTGTGTTTAAATAAAATAGCTTGGTGTTATACAAAATCTGTTTTAAAACATAAAGCATCTCATATATGCAGAGATGTTTTTTTTTTGTTATTATAATTGTATATAAATGATATATAAATGCTAGAATGTATGAAGCGTTGAAATATTTGTATTCTATTTACCATATACAGGGTGACTGGTGAATTACTATCAATATTTAAGGCGCATACTCGGTACATGATTCTCATTCGAATTATGTACAAAAAATAGGTACTTAATTTTTGACCAAATTTCCGTATAAATAAATAAAGTGTGGACACGTTCCAAGTGTTCCAAGTGTGGAGGTGTGCGGCGGCGTGTTGATACAACACCACGCCGCGTGCGCGCGTGTGTGTGTGTGTGCATACGTAATCTGTAGGGTGTTCATACGATGCGTAATTAATTACATAACTTTTGGTTAACTTTACTTAGAAGTTTATTAAAATTTATGTTATATTAATTTTTATTTTGTCATATATGATCGTCAAATATCACGTCCTCAAATATCGATAGTAATTCACCAGTCACCCTGTATAGAAGAGATTTTTTTTCAATATGCTAATAATTTGTTTATGTACTTATTTTTAAAAGTAGGAATTGTTACATCATGTATAATTATATTCCAATACTTAAAAATCTGCAATATTGAATTAAATACATTATAATAGACAACTGTAATACTATTAAGTGTTAATTTTTAGTGTGCAGAAAGTATGAGCATTGTTTTTTAATTTATGATAGTCATTTGTTTCTATAAGCTAATAATGATTGCTTCAGAAAAATATCTGAAATTATGAAGTTCTTGCAATAGCTATTATCATGCATAGAAACTAAGCATTTTTTTTAATTTCTGAAAGACAGCCAAGCGATTATATATTTATATATATCTATATATATATTATTCCAAAACCAGAAATAATCTCCGTATATATTTATTTTTCTTGATAATGTTAATTTAACTATGAACAGTTTAATAATTTTCATCTATAATTTTTCAGTTAATCCGTTATGTGTCATGGAACGAGTTTGTCTATTCAATGTTATCTAAGGGAGAAGTAGAGGAATTGATAGTTCGACCAGATTTGGAAGTAGTCACTATTATATTACATGAAGGTGCAGTCATAAAAGGCAAAAGAGTTAGTATGATATATATGTAATTTAAATAAAATTTATTCTGAAAAAGTCAGTTAGTCAAATATGTATTTACAAAATAATACAACTGTTATTAATTTGTTGTTATTATAAAAGAACTTCCACTTGAATCAGACTTTAGAAGTAAAATATTATTATTTCAAGTAAAAACATAATTATTAATTAAAGTTTTAACTTATAGCCTTGTTAATTATTTCTATTTAGTCGAACCATCGCGTCTTCCATATGAACGTGGGTGACATTCATCGCTTTGAAGAGAAACTGAGAGAGACTGAACTCGGTTTAGGGGTCAAGGAAGGTAAGATGGCGAGGAATAAACATTTATTATTATAATATCGTCAAATCTATATAATATATATCTGTATAGATATACATATATGAATATAATTTCAGGAGTTCGTGTAATATATGATAGAAATGGAAGTGTCGCTGGGAAAATTATTACAACCCTTCTTATTGCCGCTATTATCATGTCCTTCCTATATTCAACAAAGTCAATGAGGATGAATATAAATTTGGGTGGATTTGTAAGTACATTTATAATTGATTAAATACTAGAAGACCCGGCGAAATTCGTATCGCTCTATAATCAAGAAATATCTGTTACTTTCTTTTATTTATATTTTTGGAGTTCACCATTAAGCCATAAATCTCCATAATTTGAAGTGCAACAGAATGATTGACATATTAGTTAGTTGTCAAATTTAATTTAAAAAAAAACGTTTGTATGGGAAATAGAAAATGGCTGTTTTTAGGGTTTTCCCGGAAATGAATCAATTTTTTTCAGCTTTTACACCTTCTTTGAACCTCCATGAACATTTCAAGACTAAGATAAGATAAATCCGTTTAGTCGTTCTCGAGTTTTAGTGAGACCAAGGAACAGCAATTCATTTTTATATATATATATATATATAGATATATTGTTTTATATAAGTCCCCTCCATGAGAACATTCTAAACAGCGCTAAGATATGATAATTTATATGGTATTAATTATAAATTTATGTGTTAATACATATATGTAATAGACTTATATACAATTTGTATGGAATTGTATATAATTATTATATACAATGAAATTTCAATACAGTGTAATTGGTACATTGAAATCATCTGAATGATATCTTAAAAAGCCTTTTATTAAATACACAGTTTATAACATTATAATCTTTATATACATGTACAATAAATATTAAATTCCATCGACAGAGTCAGTTGAGGCGTGCCAAATTCACTCTAGTTGATTCTATGAGCGGTCAAGGGAAGGGTGTTAAGTTTGAAGACGTGGCTGGTCTGAAAGAAGCCAAGATAGAGGTTATGGAGTTTGTTGACTACTTGAAGCGACCAGAACATTATAGAAGCTTAGGTGCTAAGGTATAGTGATAATTTTTAGTTATATGTATTGTATTATATAAAAAAAAAATTAATTTTGCTGTTATGTATTAGTTTTACTTGCCTAGTATTCATAAATAATAATATGATCTCAAGTATAATGTAGGTAGATCACTTAATTATATTAGGTTCGGTCATTGAGTATATTCTTGTTGTTTATTAGTTATACTTGATACTGTTAAAGAATAATACGACATCAAGTATAATGTTGATTGATAATTTTCTTATATTAGATTAAGTTTTACTATTTGCCACAATACATACATAACGAATTTAGTGTAGTTTATGAAATACTAAATTTACTTTAATGCAATAAGGATTTTAGGTTTTTTGTAATATATTACTTGTTGTCTTAGTGAATCATATCAATGATTTTAATGAACATAGTTTCTAGAACTGATTATTAAATTTATTTGGTTTAATAGTAAAATAATTATTGTTGCATCGTTAATAATTAATTTGTCGTTTTTTGGAATCGGTTGTGTTATTACGTACGATGAATAAATTTTAATAAATATATAATATGTAATTTTGTTTCTAATATATTACGATATTGAATTCTAAGATAGTATGATAGAAATGAAATATATGATAAATTTATTTAATTAAACGTAATTTAACTCTTGTAAATTAATAATCAACATTAAGATCGTCAGTAGAATTGAATGTCTTTAATTCGTAAAAACGTATTAATGCCTTAGTTTTTGATTTGTATGAAATTCGTTTCCATAACAAAGCACAGAAAAGTCATTCGTTCTTATTATATTGTATATGAAGGTATGAAGTATTTATTTCAATTATAATATGTGATTAAAAAAACTGTTACATTGAATAATGCTTTGATTTTATCTATAAAATAAATAAGATTGTTAAAGATGTTAGATGTATAACGTCCCAAGTGAAATTTTATATCTCTTTGTCTAGAATTAATATAATTCTAACAAATACAATTATATTTTCCAGGTGCCCAAAGGAGCTCTGTTACTTGGTCCTCCAGGTTGTGGTAAGACGTTACTCGCTAAGGCTGTGGCTACAGAAGCTAATGTACCATTTCTATCTATGAATGGATCAGAGTTCATTGAGATGATCGGAGGCTTAGGAGCGGCGAGGGTCAGGTAATATAAGCATCAAAAACTTTTACTATTACTAACCATTTTAAAATGATCCTCAGCTTTTATTTCACTAAATTAAAAGCGTTAACAAATAAGTGTAAGAAAATTTCATAACATTTATATCAATAAGCATTTAATTAATATCTCCTCTGTTCCACAAACATCACTAAATCGACACTTTAATAATTCCTTATTATATACTACAAGCTTTCCGCCCGCAGCTTCGCCCGCGTGGAGTTCGGTTATATCGCGTTTCCAAGAGAACCTTTAAAAAGTCTTGGATAAAAACTGTTATATGTTCTTTCTCAAGGTCTACTCCATCTCTGTACCAAATTCCATTAAAATCAGTTCAGTGGTTTAGGCGTGAAACCGTAACAGACAGACAGACAGACAGAGTTACTTTCGCATTCATAATATTAGTTGGGATAATAGCTTTCTTAAATTTACCTCTATAATATATACAGGGATCTGTTCAAAGAGGCGAGTTCCAGAGCACCCTGTATAATATATATCGACGAAATGGACGCCGTTGGTCGCGCGAGGTCATCGGGGACTTCTTCGTGGGGTCCGGGGGGCGGGGAGGGGGAACAGACCCTCAACCAGCTGCTGGTGGAAATGGACGGCATGAAAAGTAGAGAGGGGGTCGTAGTATTAGCAAGCACTAATAGGGCTGATGTATTAGATAAGGTGAGATATGAGAATGATGTTATGTTGTGATGAACCTACAGAATATAATAAACTATAGGAATACTATGTGATTTTTCGGAGTCATATGTACTTTCTGAGAGTATTTAAACATCACTGACATACGGTGAAAGAAAACATCGTGAGGAAACATGGACTTATATCAAATTATAAGTTTGAAATCACCAACCCGTCTTGAGTAAGCGTGGTGATTAATGCTCAAACCTTCTCCATGTGAGAAAGAGGCCTTGCTTAGCAGTGGGCTTCTGATAGGCTGATAGGCATAGGAATATTATACATACATATACATATACTAGCTGATTCGGCAAACATTGTTTTGCCACATAAAAAAATAGGGATTGGTGATTAAAAAGTAAAAATTTTGGGTTGTATGTATTTTTTAATGTCACATTTAAAAAAAAATTTGGTCCAAAAATTAAAAAAAAATAGAGGTGAACAATCCTTATGACCTAGGGGTATGAGAAATAGATGTTGGCTGATTCTCAGATCTACTCAATATGCTTAAATGATTTTATGATAACCGGTCAAGCCGTTTCGGAGGAGTACGGGAACGAACATTTTGACACAGGAATTTTATAATATAAAGTATAAGAATTATCGATACAACTACTGTTGAACGTATTGCCAAAGTTGACCAAAGTTTTAAACATTCACTATGTTCTTGCATATACTGTTAAACATTTTTACCACATGTTGAGGCCAAACATAGCCAAATGAATGTTTGTCGGAAAAAACATATATTTATTTATAAATTATTTACAAATAAAATCATTGTTTAAGAATAAGGGATCATTTGAATGTAGTTACAATGTTTTTTATATGAACATTGACCTAAATAAAAAAAAATCAACTAAATATATTTAGTAGAGTAATAGTAGACTTATTTTTTTATATTTTTATAATCCGAGTAACAATTTATAACTTGTTAGTATACCAGTAGGATTGGTTGTTCCTAGAAAACTCCGAATTATTTTTAAGGAGGATTTTTTTATTTTTTTTCTAAACTATCTTATATTTCCAGGCGTTGCTTCGTCCGGGACGTTTCGACAGACACATCCTAATAGACTTACCGACTTTGATAGAACGAGAGGAAATCTTCGAGAGACATTTAAAGAACATTGTACTTGAGAAGCTGCCGCCTTATTATGTTAAACGGTATTTATTTATATTAAGTATATGTACTAGGAATTGGTAGAAATTGAAACTATAGTGCTAAGGATACATATACAATACATACACACAAACACACACACATGTATGTATATATACTGCATGTGTAAGTAAGATATTTAATTAAGTACATAAGTGAGTAAGATATTTAATTATAATATAATTTCACTGTTTCAGATAAGTTCTGTAGATTGCCAGAAGTATATATGTAACTAAAAAGTGTGTCTGTCTGTAAAAAAACTTGACTTAAATTTCCAAAGTAGCTGATGTTATCTCATAAATAATTATTTTTGGTGATTTTGATATCATTTAACAATATTGTTAAGCATAGCAAGTGTTGAATTGAATCACATTAACACTTACACTTACATTTTACACTGTTTTACATAAGATATATTTTGTTCTAATAATTTTTTATATAATTATTTAACACTAGCTGCCCAGACACACTTCGTTCCGTCAAAACTTAAAATAGTGATTATATTTTATAATACAATATTATTATAATATACTTTCATAATTGATAAGAATTGAACACAACTGTTTGACAGCAAATTTTTATTTTATTTTTAATTTTTAGCGTTTTACGGAACATACAAAAAATTACCCAATTGGTAGCACAATTTTCAAGTTATGAACTAGGCAACATTAATTTTTATTTATAAATATAATAAAGGATTATAATTTTTTCAGATTAGCATATTTAACCCCTGGCTTCAGTGGCGCTGATATAGCTAACGTATGTAATGAAGCGGCCTTACACGCCGCTAGATTCAAACAAAGTATTGTGAAGGCTTCCGATTTAGAATATGCTGTCGAGAGGGTAGTCGGTGAGATTAAGACGCGATAATTTAATTAATGTCATACATATATGTTAAAATCCAACTACTAATTTGATACTTTTTTTTTAGCATAATACAATGATTAACGCAAAAATCTCTACATTTGAGTTATACATTCAAATAATATTAAGATTATCGAACACTAACATTTTTTTAAATTTCAATTACATATTTCCTACGTTGCGTTCATTTCACAGCGACCATATAAATAAAAATGTACTTCAATCTACTTCAAATATCAGTTTAAACCATCAATAATATAATGATCGTAATATAATTTACAGGTGGTACAGAGAAACGAAGTCACGCTATATCACCGGCTGAGAAACGTGTGATAGCTTACCACGAGGCGGGCCACGCTCTTGTCGGTTGGCTGTTGGAACATACGGACGCTTTACTTAAAGTAACGATAGTTCCACGTACTAATAAAGCATTGGGATTCGCTCAGTATACGACATCGGATCAGAAACTATACTCCAAAGAAGAGGTTTGATATATAATCTCTACTAATATTATAAATGCGAAAGTAACTCTGTCTGTCTGTTACGCTTTAACGCCTAAACTACTGAACTGATTTAATGAAATTTGGTGCAGAGATAGAGTTGACCTTGAGAAAAAACATAGGATAGTTTTATTGCCAGACCTGAAAGGTTCTCTTGGAAACGCGATATAACCGAACTCCACGCGGGCGAAGCTGCGGGCGGAAAGCTAGTAAAATACATATAAAAGAAAGTCGGGTTAGTTACACTATTTATAAATCAACAACGGCTAAAGGGATATGGCTGAAAATTGGTGGAGAGATAGCTTAGAACTAGAAAATAGAATAGAGAGCCATAGAATAGAGTTGGCCCGCTCAGCTATAGGTACATATGTATATTGCTAATTCGGAAATTAACGTACGCGAAAAGTAGTATAATGTAATATATAGTTCTATTGGAACAAGGGTTAATTTTGTTAACCTAATGATGTTATCTCTTAAGAACAAAACTCAAATGTATACATAAAAAGAAGTAAATATTAATTAAGACATATATGTTATATAATTATTGTTATCTATATATTTATTTCAGTTGTTCGATCGTATGTGTATGGCGTTGGGCGGTCGGGCGGCCGAGGCTATAACATTCAATTCTGTGACTAGCGGAGCCCAGAATGACCTTGAGAAGGTCACCAAAATAGCATATGCACAGGTCAGAAATAACTTTAATCATAGTGATATATGTAGTAAAATAATATAATTATTATTAACATGCGTTAATTAGATGTCATATGTAAATAGTATAGAGTAGTAGAGGTAGAGGGAACAATTAAATCTCATAATAATTCATTAGAACAATTCATAATATTATATCTAATAACTAATTGTTCGTGTTAATTAGATAATAATTATATGTCTCTTGAAATTGTAATAATCTAAAATATCTCGAGACACCTTCTTGTTATATATTTCTGTTTCCTTAAAATTTATTTAGTACTATATAAATTTTTGTACATTTCTGATAATTCGAAGAGTCAAAAATTAAAGAACTCATAGCTGACAAACGTACATATGTATATATCAGATTTAATATAGCTTAACTCTTATTTATACGAAAATTCAAACATAGTTCTATTCTCCTTTTATACAGTCTTTAATGCCGTTTTACTTTAAACAATAACTATGAACACCAATAAGTTATTTTAATAACTAATGAGAGCTAAGTTAATAGTATGTTTCATCCATCATTAACCATCGCTACGATTATTTTTTTATCTAAATTTATTGCTTAAGGGTAAGGTATAAATAGATGTACACAGGGGGTAAAAGACACAAGAGAAATAAAAAGTAGACACAAGAGATATAAAAAGTAGACACGTTAACATATGTTTGTAAGAGTAATAGATGTTTAAAAGACTTAAAACTATGTGATGAAACGATGAAGAGCCCGAGGGGCTGGAGGGCTTTTGCGATTTGATACAGCGGTCCTCCAGCTCCCAAGTGCAAAAGGTGATGATGGGGATGATTGATTAACCTTATACTAACATAAAACTAACAGTCTGAGCCGACATAAATGTATAAATATAGGGAAGGGAAATGTACAAGGAGACAATATTAAAAAGAAAAGAAACAGTTATTTTACATATTTACAAGTTTTCGCTACGATATATATAATTTTGTTTTAAAACTAAACTTTAATTCCTTATATATGTTACTAGGTCCGTGTATTCGGTATGTCGCCGAACGTGGGGTTGGTGTCATTCCCTGATGTCAAAGAGCATCAAGGAAGTCCTTTCAGTAAAGCTCTTAAGAACCTAATAGATATGGAAGCGAGACAACTAATAGCTAAAGCATATTATAGGACAGAGGAGCTGTTGAAACAGAATGAGGAAAAACTGAAATTAGTACGTAAATATTACTTTAATATCCATTGCGGATTATAAGGAATTTAGTTTAAAATTATCCATATATACATATATATAGGTCAATAAACTTTGTATTAAGAAATATGTGAGGCTGTTAGATATTTAATTTAGAATGCAATTAATGGACATGAATTTTTTTCAAGAAATGTCAGATTTTCATGACTTTTGAGTTTTTTTCCCCCCAAATAGACAATATTAATCCATTAATGTTCATTATTAGAACTGTTTTAATTCGATCAAAATTGTCGTAACTAAGTAGGTACATATAATTATTTTTTTGATGTCATAATCTTCTAATATTTCAATATACACAGCTAGCCGAAGAACTTATAAAGAAAGAGACTCTCAACTACAAGGACGTAGAAGCTATTCTAGGTAAGCCACCGTACGCGAAGAAATTCATAGATCCTATAGAGTTTGAACAGAATCTACGGAACATGGAACATGTGGCTAAAACAGGTGACGAAGACATCGGCGCGCCTTCAGCTAAACCAACCGCGAACAGCGGCCTGCACTAGCCTAAGGATAGTTTTGAATATAGTATCCTAATATATTGAATATCGTTTTATTTATAACCCATAAAAATCAAACTAATAAACTAACTCATTCTTATGTCCAACTTTAACTCATTCTTATGTATTTATATACCTACAGTTAGTTAGTTAGTTAGTAAGTATATACAGTTTTGGTGTCCAAACTAAATATGTTAAGGATTTGTGATACGGAATATTTAGTTTAAGCGTATTTTAAAGAATGTTAGCAATCGTTACCTAAAAAATAATATGTAGGATAGAATACTTACTTCAATTTACTGCATTTCGTCAATAACGACAAAATTTTGGTAAATATATATATTTTATTTTATTTTTGATGGTATATGAAGTTATCAATTATCGATATAGTTCCAAACTCAAATATAACACGATATATACAAATATTTCAATTAATAATTATCAAAGTCTAGTATCTGCTGCCATCTTCATAAATTTGTTGGTAGTAAAAAGGTAAGTGCATAACTGTCACAGTTTCGCTTTTAGTTAGCGTAGCTTCCGACTGCACTTATATGCACCGCCCTCTCTTTTAAAGTGAATACTTTATAATGTAGTTTCACTTTTGGTTTGCTTCGAATATGAGTGTGAAAATCAAAACGATTACATTCTGCAAAACTAATTGTTAAGACCAAAAATAATAGGGGACATTAGTAGCTTGACGATAGCCCCTTTAGAAATAGTAAAAAGGTAACCGTATACGCAGTACTGTTTTCTGCTAAGGTTTTTGAGAAATCAGTAGTGGCAGCTATAATGGAGAGTGAATTGGAACAAGCGCAGCTTAATTATTTTTTTTACTTAATATCTTACTTTTAGTAATATTAACTGTATGGTCGATTCGTCAAACATGAGTAATTTTTTCATATTTTTAGTTATAGTAATGATTTAAAATATAAGTTGATCGATAGCGATCCGTTGAAAAGTTCATATAGAACATATTAGGTAGGTACTTTAAAAAATTCAATCGATTTATTTTCTAGTTCATCCATTGAAAAATTTCGAATAATGACATCGTGATGTTCTTAGAAAAAGGCGATGAATGATGGAGAGTAGACATTTTTTTTAGTCTCAAATTTAAACCCGTCATAATTCTGAAACTCTTTCACTAGGGCCAACTAGGTATATAAGGTTACTATTAAATATTCATTGTACAATGTTTTTTCTATCTCTGTTCTCCCAATAATTGAATTATTTGACTTGAATATTACAATTACTTTTTTAACGTATCGTTGGCTTAATAGTTTCTACGCAATAACTACGACGGCGTATCTACTTACATTAAAATATAGCAGTTTGGGAACTAAATTAAAATTATATTAATTTATAAACCACCGCTTATATCAGTTATTCTTAATTAACATAACAATTTTTAACTTTATATTGTGGGTTCATATTTTAAAAAGTTACATTATGGTGAACAAGACTTTTGCGAGTACACATTTTTCAGTCTTTCGTCTCGTCTGGCCGAGATCACGTATACCGCAGAGTAATCGAAAAGCCGGGTAAGATAATAAAGATTCGCAAAGTTCAGCCGAAAAAGCATAGTTTCATTTTAAGTTGCGCTGTTTAATTTCAATTTCAGAAGTTAAACATCTTTAACCGATTAAACATTGTAATTACTGCGGTTGTGTTGCAAAAAAATAATTTAAATGTAATACTTTTTACCTGTATCCTAATGATTTAAGCAGCTGAAGTATTATAAAGTATATTTCAGATTTGCATCGAGTTGATAAGCTTTTGTTATTTCACGTGACTCCGACGACGTGATTTTAAAATTGTCCTTGAAAAATCCTTCGATAAAGTAATAAAATATAGCGAGAGGAATAAGTAAGTAGCTGTCAATGAATATCAGAAACATATTGTTTGGTAATAGGAAACAATAATTTCAAATCCCATTATTTCTTCATTACTATTTCAGTTGTAAAATCTTATTTCGGTTCAGTCCTTCAACAGTCGAGTCTTGTTAGTTGTAATAGATACGTCGAATCACTATTGATTTCTATTCTGTGTAAAACCGAAGTTAGATTTGATCTGATCTGAAGCCTTGATATGTTGACAGCAGATGTGTCCGATAGAGAGGCTCTCAACGTTTCAATTAACTTCGTTACATAACGTGACGTGTGTCCTAGCCGCTAGGTATCTACAAAATGCAACATCACCTATCGCCAGCTCCATAATTGGTATCCTTACCTTATTATGACCGTGATAGACCGGCCGGCGTGTTATATTAGAACGTAAATACATTACACCTAAATGTTTACCCATTACATATATATGACGGTATATTAAACTTGTGATACATATTATCAATTTTGCGGTTTTCATAAATTGTATAACAGCGGCATTGTTTTGATATATAGGAAAGGAGTTGTTAAATAAAAAACCATTTTGGGGAAACAACTTTATTACTGTCAAGGGGATAGACACGGGGTAAACACCGAATGTCGACAATATTATATGTGGTGATATACGAAGAAGTACACATTTATAAGATTACAGCTACAACACTACACAATGGTGTACATTAATAAACATTAAACAATCTTAAACACAGATATATTAGATTACTATATGTATATATATATGTTTATATCAAATAAAATAGCAGTCTTAAATGTAACAAACATCACAAGGTAATGGGTAAATATATATTATATACGGTAAAACGCTGTTATTAAAAATTTAAATTCGAAGATATCAAAATACGATTGTGGATTTGATGGTCCGGTAGAAAAACGTGTGGGTGGAGCGAGAGAGTGGAAGTACCGCAAATAAAATAAAGGAAATGAGAGAAAGAAAAAAAAATATAATAAAAAAATAAACATTTATTTAAATAATAAACTTAAGTACGATGACATCGGTCTGTAAGGACGAATCCCGATGTGACTATATACAAAGTATAAACAGTCACCACATCTCACAAGATTGATAATCTTAAACATAATACTGTACAGGGTACACCTACGGCGACCTTAATACAATTAAACGATAGGAGAATAATGCTACCAGCGCGTATATTATACTCGACAATACAACACAACAGAAACAACAAAAAAAAAATACTAGCCACAAATAATTTGTGCGTTTTCTATAAGAAAAAAAAAAGAAATTATAATACAAAATAAATAACTCTTTGTGATCAACAAAAAGTAATAAATTGATATGCATCAAAAGAAAATTTAAATTATAAATAAGGACAAGCGTAATTTTTTTTACGATACATACATATTATACATATATAGGTTTCATTAAATCGATTACGTCCATCGGACTGCTTTGGACTTGGGTTACGACGTATAATATTTGAAAAATTACGTGTAACATCTATTAAGGGGAAACTTATCTAGTTTGAGATAGATACAAGTATAGCGCACCGTGTTTGCTTGTGTTTAGAATGTTGCAATTCTGTTTACTGATCGACATGCTTAATATTCTTCGTCTCGTGTTATCGGTTTGAAGATTACGAAATGTATTTCCAACTGTTATCTATGTAGCTACGATCAGGTTACGCAAAAAACGGTGCATTAATTGTATCATACAAGTATAACCCGATTTAATATTTCTTATAACAGACCAATGATAGATCATCATAGTCTTATCTACAGGGTGTTGATACAATGGCAAGTGTTTCACAACATTCATATATTTGTATATATATTATTTAACACTGGGGTCATCTTGAAAACGAACATCGAACGCCTACATTACACAATAAACATTTATTAGAGCCAGTTACGAGATATTAAAATATTGAGACATTTTTATAACTATTTTATAATATACAAGAATAAATCGTGTTAGTCGCGCATGTGAATCCAATTGAAATATAAATTATATTAAACAAAACATAAAAATAACTGATGTCGGTATAAATTTTTCTATTGTACACAAAATACAAGTAAATTGAGCAATTTAATAATTAATTACTTAAAACAATTTATATACAAAATCATAAAATTGCAAAACGTATAATGACTTAGATGATTAAAATTCTGAACGACAGTGCGACATTGATTAATATTTTTTTTAATACTACACTTATAAACTACGTTAAATATACTAAAAAAAATTGTGATATATATTTGTGCTCAGTTTTTAAATCTAAACTAGAATTCAAAGCAATTGCATATGAAAAGTCGAAAAAATAATTTGTATGTCAGAAAACGGAAAGGTTTCATGCTGAAGAACTGACAGTCGGGAGTCATGTCAAAATACTCCGAATATAGAAACGAATTTTTTCAAAGGATATACAAGAAAAAATGTTATTTTTATCACAACATCGAACCCGCTAACATTTATGGTGTAATTACTATGGACACAAAGAAACGAACTACCCTCAATGTATGCTAATTTAATCTAACAGAATAACGTCGAGAACATTGAGAAAAATCTTTCAAAGTATATCTTTTTTTTTGGTATTATTATTATTTTTTATGCATTTGTATTCTAACACCTAATAATCTGAATTAATTATTTCCCCGAGCGCAGTCCTTACCTCTCTCCGTAATGTGAGCTACAATAGCTTGTACATCATCAAAATCAAACTCCTCATACCATATAGCCGATACTCGAAACTCGGGGGAAATTATCTAAAACATTTAACTTTTACATTGATATCCAATAAATATATGACCCCAGTTAACATTGAATTCTAATACAGATCTTAGTGTCCATCAAATATATATTTAGAATGTTATCTACATTCACATAATATGTATATATATAATTAATATATTATATATACACACACATATATATATATATATTTTATAAATATAATACTGAATTTCTTGATACACTTAAAGGTAATATACTATAAATACGCCAAAAGGGCGTAAATAATTTACTTGAAGAGCTTAAATTATGACTAAATAACTTAAAATACCAAAAAGTTAATGAGACTCTACTCCTTTTCAATAATATTATGATTTAAACAGAATTGTATTCTATGAGAGTTTAAATTATATATAGGAGAAATAAGAATTACATATAAAAAAATAATATTAATTTTAGTTACAAAATAATTTGTACTGGATCGTTAAAAAAAATTAAATTCTAACAAAATTGTCATATTATAAAAAAATCAGGAAAAAAATTAAATTATATTGGGAGACCAGCTCCTAGGGCGAAATTTTTTTTGCCCACAAAATAAGTCGTCATTTCATATATTAGTCTAGTCCGGTAAAATTAAAACACTTTTTTTCATAAGTGTACGTGTATAGAATCGGTTTACTTCTCTGGAGATTGCTTTTTCTGCTCAGCTGTATCAGATTCCTGTTGAGAGATTATGTCGCAATCAATGTACGATATCATATATTAGGGAGCTAAAAAATATATAATATTCGCATGATACATCAAAAGCGTTTTTTGTTAAACAAATTAAGAAGCTTTGCATGTAGCTAGAAAGCGACGTCTCTGAATATTTACAACAAAATCAACTTGTGATACAAGTAAAGCAAAGCTTAAAACTTCTAGACTACAACAATATGATCCATAGTTTAGTTTGAAAACTTCAAATGAAAATATAAAAGCAAATTAAATATAAAAGGAAATCATAAACATCGACATAGCACCTGTAATCACCTCAACGGGCAGAGAACTGCGGCGAGGGAGTTGCGAGCGTTCTTGGACATTGTACGTGGCTTTGGCGAGCCATTGTTGGCAAGTTACGATAGGGCTTTGCTTCCTGCGGCCCCCATTCAAGCTGTTCCTTAGAGTCCCGAGAGAGGCAACCCTAGGCTCTGCGGCTATCGGGGCGGGAGCGGAGCCCCTACGACGAGACCAACCCTCCTTACCAGACAGAGTGCGCTTAAGCAGCTGAGGGATAGCTGCTGTCATTTCTCGTACTTTCTTCTCCTTCGGTGCTGTTAGTGAAATTGGGTTACAATAATGATGAACATAATTAAATTAATATAGTATAGCATATCACTTACTGCATCCCTCGGTGTCGGTCGGCATCGATTTCCTGCGACACAGCAGTTGGTCGCTCGGTCCGAGTTTCACGGACGTCAGGTTTTCTCGCAGTTGGGTGCCCGAGTCTCTGCGACCGTCGGATGGCTTTGGCGGTTTTAGTTCCGAGACATCTTGCCCTTTTATAGTTTCATTTGACTTAGCAGTATCAGAAGCGTCATCTTTATAAGCCTTGTCGGCTTCATCTTTCTTTGAGAGTGTTTTGGTTTTTTTAGCTGATACTTCGAGTTCAGCTCGTTCGCGTGCTGGATAGATGGTGTCCTCGTTGCTGGTGTAGAGAGGACGGCAAAGCAGAGCCTGGCGTTTGGCGTGTGAGTGAAGCGGTGGGAAAGTCTGTTGGCGCACTAGTTTCCAAGTCGAGCCTCCTTTGATGACAGTGTTAAGGCGAGTCGCCTGCACCGGAGTGGTGATAGAAGCAATCGAAGAATCTGGCAGCAGCTTCTCTGTACTGAGCACTTTCTCCACTTTGTCGCTGTGGTCGCAGTGACCTACGCTGAGCTGAGAATGTATGGAGTGCTCGCTGCCCATGAGGCTTGCAATATCTTTACGTAATTCAGCTTCGCAACTTTCACGGGTCTTCTCTTTGTTCTTGAATCGTGAATCTTGAAATATATTGAGCGGCACTGAAAAACGACGTAGCTGTGCCCTAAAGCCAGTGGGTCTAGTAGGGTTCAATGAGCTCCTACGCAAAGGCAAGAGTAATTCAGAACTGTCTGAAATGTTCGTATTGGAGCATGTCTCCAGATCATCATCTACCATATCAGCATCCGATATTTCTGTCTTAGTTTCTTCAGCTATCTCTTGGTTAAGCAGAGTTTCCCACTTCTCTTGATTATACGCCAGGTTTTCTAGCATCTGAGCTGACAAATCGTTCTGGAGGAAGCGATGCCATTCGGTGATCAAAGGCGTTACAACATACTTGAAGAACCCTGTAAATGTCAATATATAAGCAACAAGGAACAAAATTGAATAAACATATAAAGTAAACATAATTGTTTGAAGATTTGCTAAAAATAATTGTTTACATTTTGTGATATACATGTTTTGGTTTATTTGTTTTTACCATAGGAGAAGTACTTTTATAATATTTACTACATTTAGAAACGGGGATTAAATCCTGTAAATTATTTGTGTTATGTATTGATTTTATTTAATACAGTATTATACCTGCTTGTATTTTGGGTATAGAAGTTGTATGTCTGTCGCATAGCGCTGTTACGGGTAGATTGAGTTTTCTCTCATAATCTCCTTGGCGGAAGAATTCCTCGCACACTTTCAGCGACCACTTCCTGCTGATCTCCCACGGCCGGCATGGGTTCGATATATCGGCGCACTTCAGAGCAATCTGCAGGACCAAGTGACGGTGGTCCTTGTTGGTCATGTCAAGCGTATTTGTGTCCAAGTATGTCTGTGAACAAATATATCTTATACAAAAATACTATTCCTATTATTAATAAAAAACTAGTACATCCTAGTACATAGATAGTTTGAATATTCTTGGCGTTTTCAAGTCACCGTGATTATCATAGAAATATGTCGGTTCGGTAAACTAGATTACTATGACCGTGTTTGTGTTGTGTGCACAACCCACTTTATGCCTGGGATAACTCTCGTGAGTAATGAATGGCAAACATTAACGTATTTCTGGCAACTTGATAGATTACTTCATAAGACCGAATTTTTATATTTCAATGAGATTGGAGATATAAAAAAAAAAAAATATGTGAAATTTACACTCAACTGCAACTATATAATAATATGAGATTATATTTTTTGAAATTAGTTTTTATGTAAGGGTTTATAGATTTTTTAATGTTTTAAATAATTATTGAATTAAACCAGTCTTAACACGAAAAGCGATTAATTTGAGACCGCAGAACAAATGATAGTTACTTTTAATTTCTCCGTTGTGGAAATATTAATATACGTTTCTATCCCCAATGTGTTTTTGTAAAACATATATGAAGCTCAAACGTAATGGATATTCTAATTTTATAAAGTAATCTTTCGATGTTAATACAATTTCTATTTCTTAGTTGGACAAAGGATACGAATATAGCTTGCGTTTTTTCAAAAAGAAATAATTAAAAGACCGTGTTTAATATTCATTAGGTAGAGTAGTTTTAAAAATGTATAAAGTAAAATGTGTTTACTAATGAAAACTAAAAATAAATATAGAACAAAATAATCCGGTCAGTACGACCTATAAGATATAGAGAATATTTTATCTCAGAAGCTTCGTGGTCGTGTTAGAAGCATCATTTAACAGATTATGGTTATCAGCATTGAAGCAAACAACAGAAAATAAGTAACATCCTTTATAAAACTATATTACGTTATAGTCTGAAAAAGAAATATTTGAGATGGATAGACTATAGTGTATATATATAATTACTTACAAATTAATGTCTATATAAAATCTGTTTTCATAAGCAGATCTTATCTTTAATATTACACACCTATAATCTTAGAGTTTAATGCAAATTATATTGGTAACAGAGGTTTTATAAAAAAGGAAGGTTTGTTAAACAATCTTTCAAACGTAATTTTAATCATCAAAAGTTTCAGTTTTTCGTCTAATAGAAATACTCGTATTTCGATCATTGAGAAAATTAGTATAAAATAACAAGTTTGTATTTTCCAAGTACTAGCATTTTAAACAATAACTATTTGATGTTTCAACGTTACTTATCAATCTACCGATCATTTCGTGTATTATTAACAGAATTCCCCTCGTCTCCATACGACGGTAACAGTCTTGAGTGGAAATCCTTAAATGAAAATTCCTAGGATGCGGTATTGCTTTGACGGCTAGTTTTAATGTTTGCAATACACAAATGCCATAAATAGAACGTTTAAGATTCTCATCTTTGTATTTAAACGACGTCCGGAATGATTTACTACAAGAATTATCATATAGAGTAAGTGCTCTGGACGTGCTATGCATGAGGATGCGACCATTATAGATATGCCTCTGAGAACTATTTACATAACATCTTATATTATACTTTATATCCTATATAATGTTCTATATAAGATAAAAATGAGTTTAGTTTACAAACATTTAATTATTCATCACTCATCATTTATATCGTAAACTGCTGTGTTGTTAATTATAATAATCATTATTTTTTTGATTTCATTAAGCAAATTAACAAATAATATTTTATTTAAAAGTTTACAGTTATCGCTTTTAAAAATAAATTATGAAAAGAAGGGAAAAGAATTATTTCGTACCAAGGCAAAGTACGTGCGAATGAAATGTTAATTACTAGAGAGAAAATAAAAAAAAGCAAAGGTTGTCTAGAAAATAACCATATTCATATTAATCATGCGTAATATTATTCATTATATATATTTTTTATCCGTAGCCTTGTTATTGTAATATATAAGCTCCTTTTTTCTGAGAGGTGGATCAATGAAGATATGTACAATAAAACCGTATATTCACTTTCGAAAGAGTATTTACAGTATTATAGCAAAAAGAAATCGTCTATTTGTCACTGTTTCTAAGTGTTACGAACATGTTTTGTACATTAACATGTGGGATGGTCACCGTTTAGTGAAATTTTTCTCTAAAGAATTTTTTATCTAATAGTCATAATTTTGATTAAGCTGTAAATAGTATTGCTTTAAAATATCAAAGATTCTAATAATGGAAAATGTTTTTCTATTTTGAGTTACGCAAGAGTGATTCTCAAAAGTTTTTAATGTTTGTCCAATGACTGACTTGTCACTAAACTGCGAAGCGGTTTGAAAATTTACCAGGTAACTTTGAGGTTCGGAGACTATTACTTGGTTGTATTTTTCTTTGACGTATATATTATTTTCTTTGAAACTGTAACTGTAGTTCAGTTTTACATTCAGAATTCTAAGAATAATAATGAATTTGTTTGTTTTTTTATTATTGTGTGAATTTCTTGCAAGTCTCAGTCGGAATAACAGTTCTGTTGCTTCCATCATCTATATTTTTCAATTAGGTAATAATAAATTAATTTTCTATTTTGTGTCGAATGTGTTATATTTATTTGTTAATGAATATGAAAATTGCTCTCTTTTAAAACCTTCAGAATGAGACGAAACCCAATACAGCTGTAATTACGGTTAATAATAAAATATAACATATTGCGATTTAATTTCACTAAAATCATATCCGAACATAATTACAATGCGGTTATAATGTGGTAACGTGCTAGTAAATAATAATTATTTATGCGCCTTTATATTAAAATACATTATTTATATGAACAGCGTTGAAAATAGTATATTATTTTGTATCGGGATCTGATAAAACTCAAATAATATTAAAGATATTGAAAATCATACTATTAATTTTAAAACATTCGTATTTACATAATGAGATCTAAGACTTTTGCGAGTATTCATATAAATGAAACTATGTAATATTACGAAAAGTAATCGAAACGTGGGGAGTAGGTATGTAGTTTTTAATTAATTAAACAATAAAATATAAGCTCTGTTTCTATCCTTTTCAATGTTCAATCGTCATTAAAAAGACACAAGTTTTTAATTATCATTATGCTTAGACCATTATAATAAACACACTAACAATGTTTATTTAAATCATTTGTTGTACAGTCTCTGTCTCTGTATTCTAACAACAATATTACTTTTTAGTTATTTGCATTCACTTTGCTTAATACATCAGAGGGGGATGTCCAACATTTGGTTAGGACTTCAGTTGCATGCGCTTCAGATAAATTAAATTGACCAACAACCTTGGAACAAGCCCCAACAATGAGTATTTTTATAATTAACATTACATTGTAATCCTTTGGGAACGTGTTGTCAGGCGACCAATTACCTCAATTATATACTTTATGTATATTTATAAGGCTATGTCTTTATTAAAATTATATCCGATATATTTATTTTAAGATATGTTTAATTATTCTATTATTAGAAAGGTTAGTCAATGTTTTGAAGATCTTATAATTCTCCTGTGTTCTTTACATTTATTCTAAACAACGAACTTTACCATTATATTGGTCGATTTGTTTTTTAAGTTCTAAGACTTTGTTGTCAGTGTGACACAAATAAGCTCATTCTTTTATGACAGTAAAAGAAGTTTTTCACAGTTTATATTGAATATGATACGTCTTCGTACGTCAAGTTTAGGTAATTATACAGATTTCCCTCTTCATTTTGATATTATTATAAAAATATAAGTACTCAGCTTAAAAAACAATAAACAGTTTAGTTTACTAATAATCTATATGTTTAGAAATACTTGATATTCAAGTGCTCACTCAAGTTTAAGATATAATGTTTGTTTTACAGTATTCATCATTATAAACAACTCAGTAGATTGAACAGTGTCAAGTGGATGTTTTTATTTAAAAAAGTTATCATAATCCGATCTCTTTATCAATAAAATTGATTATTCTTTATCAATCAAATTCCCTTCTATCTTATGTGTGGTTCACAACTTAACGTTTTTTGATCACGAAATTATCCTTGTATCATACTTAATATAATTATAAATGATTTATAATATTTAAATTAACATAAAATTAAACAAGTCGTTATCACTAAAAACATTTTCCACGTGTTTCACAACTACTTAAGGTTGATGTTAAAAAAGATTACCACTCATGTAGTCCCTTGATAAAATATGAAGTATCATATTACAATTACACAAGCTGAGCTGATAATACAATAATACATGAAATTATAAGAAGTACTATATAAATATTTTTAAATTCATACGTACGGCACATATAGTTTAGAAAAAAACATCAACATCAATTGTTAAATAAGATGAAATATGCAAGGAATTTTTATACTCATGTATATAAATAGGTTTTCATCCAATACGGATCGTGTTATAGTTCAAAGTTCCATTTTCCCATGAACTAGATTTATTGTTATACTTTAAGACTAGACGTGTTTTAGTAAATACTGTAACACACCTGGCTTTATATATGAGATGAGAATGATTTCACTTTAAAGTTTAATCTTTAATGTTAGGTATCGCTTTTATTTTAAACTATTTTCCATATCCAAGTCGTGAAAGAAATTGGAAAACATACTAATATTTTAGATTGCATCTGTTGGCCTATGAAGCAATCCCTAATACTATTCTTGTTTGGTATTCATACTAATATATCCATTATTTTTACTTAATTTTGTTTTAATTTACTGGAAAAAGGCATTTCATTTTAATATAAAGACAAAGTTATATCGTCAAATGAGATTCCGTTACTAGGAAGTGCTGTCAGAGGGAGTCTCATAGACATACTTTACTTCCACTTATAGTTATCGAAATATTCTACATACTATATATTATAAAGCAGTGACACAATTTAACAAGAGCCTGTTCTTCAAAAATAGAGACTTAAATTATTACAGTTACTATTTATAAATTAAACATTTCAATTTAGACAT